CGCTGCATGCACTGAAGTCCTGTAAGTCCAAAGGTATTAAGTGTTGCCTCCTGCACACGGCACAAAGCTTTGGCAGAGCTGTAACAAATCATCATGTGGCGCTTCCACTGGCCGTCGGGAGCGTTGGGGTCCAGGAACGACAAGATAGGTCGGTGGAACAGAATCAGGGCCAGGTAGTAGTACCCGTGCATGTTTCCGATAAAGTGTGAAGGAATCCATGGGGGTGATCCATCCTGTGGGAAGGAAATAGCTAGGTCCGGGGGAAGCTCTGCCAGCCAGGTGTTGAAGCTTTGTCCCAATTGCTGGAACTCGGGGTCGACGCCCCAATCCTTTCTTCTCCGGAGTCTCGTATATACTTTGCTCATCGCGGATACTGTTCGCACAACCTGAGAGAAGTAGCTGAAGTTGCGCGATGTATGGTATTCTGATTCTTCGCATCCCGGGACAGGTCGCGAAGGTGTGAAATCAACGGTGTTGAGTTTGACAGCATGGTCATGTCGGCCTTGGATACATTAGTTAACAAGACAATAATGGGCAGCTCAGTTTCACTCACCTTGAGGAGCGCCAACCATGACCTCACACACAAAGATCGTCTGCCAGATGCGCTTTCGAAGCTGGCATTCGGCAGCTGTAAATTCGCAAGCAATGCCTGCTTGGTGATCCTCGTGGTGTTCATCCAAGCCCAGATCTTTGCCCATTTGAACGCACTGCACAACAGTCATCCAGGAGCGATAGTAGTAACCTCGTTTAGGAGCAGCTTCGCGAGCCTTGAGAATCATAAGCAAGGCTTGAAGAGTGCTCAATCGAGGAACATCCATGAAAGAATCGGCGTGTCCTAGAAATAGTCAGTTTTTGACTTTCATACTAACCATGTACAGTTTCAAAGCAGTACTCACGGGAAGCAAGGGCAAGCCATTGTTGACCTTCAGTCGGTTCCTCAGCCAGTCGTCCTCCCATAGCAAAAATCGCTTCCAGGATCAATGGAGAAATTGATTCTCGGTCCGTATTCCATTGTTGATAGAAAACAGTCTTGCAAAGTACGGGTACATAAGGATGAACATGGGTAAAGTAAAGATCGAAATAGTTTAGTGCTGTTTCGTCATCTGGCATCAACTCAGGCGGAATGCGGATCTTGTGACCAGGTGCTGGCATCATCGGAGGGAGAGCACCCGGGAAATCCTCCGCCTCTTCAACAGGTGCCTGCTCTTCATGTCTGAAAGATGCTTTATTCCTAAGATACGGAGCTACACAAATATTAGTAAACGCAGGCTGTGAGTAAACCGCGAAACCCTACCTGTGCCGGTTTCATTGACCTTGAGCGTTCCCAAAAGGTCCGCGAGATCGTGATGTTGATAGTCACCGGGGGAGGAATACGCTTCGGGAGAAGGTTGCTGATGGGCTCCGGGAGGCGGTGGCGGCTGGTGCATGGGAGGAGTAGGAAATACATTCTGGCCCGCATATGTGTGGTCCATCATTGAGCCAGAAGGTGCAACAGCGCCGTAGTGCATTCCCGGCTGCTGAGACGTGTCATACGAAACATGCTGATATGAGGTGTTCGCATCGGGGTAAACCTGCTGAGGTTGCGCACCATACATAGCAGCTGGTGAAAGTTTGGCGCCCGTGTTCATAACTTGATGCTGCATAGGCATTTGCTGATATTGTTCGGAGCCCATAGGAGTAGTATCATAAGTCGTCGAGTCGTTGGCTCCATCGAACCCGTTGGGTCGTACACAGTGAAGCTTGAGCCGTATACAAGCCGAGCAAGGCCATGTGTTTGTTGTTGCAGCATCACATTTAATTTTCCGTCTTCGGCAGCCTTCGCAAGCTCTCATAACTATCCCAAGTTTTAGCATTCAATTGCGATGCAGAGTCAATCTTCAGTTGCTGAAAAAAACATACCTTTCAACCGCTTGTGGCGGTTGTGCTCATCAACGAACACATAGTCTACACCGATATATCAGTTACCTCTAGACATTTGATGTACAAGTCGCAGTGGGTAATACGCACTCTTTTGAGTCTCGCGCTGCGTATATTGCTGCGGCGCAAACGAAAAGGAATTCATTTGGGATTGTTGCGGTAGAATTGGGCGAACAGAAGGGTCTTCGTTGGACATGTTACGATATAGTATAGTATAGCTGAGGTTGTGCGCCTCTACAAGCGTCGAATCGTGGCGATTGCAGCGGTCAACATGAAATCGTGCGCAAAAACGAATCAACAGATATCAGACGTGGTGATACAGAATCGAGCAAGTGGTGAGTAGAGTAGAGTGGAGGAGTCGAGATTGAAGTTGTCGCGCAAGACGAGGAGAATCGCGGGGTGGAGGGAGGCTCGTGGGGAAAGTCGTGACGGCAGGTGACAAAAGCAACGACAGATGGGATGATGAGCGACAATGGGCTGCACGGGTGGTGCGACGTGTATATGCGAATGAAAAGATCGTGCAGGCAAAAGCGTAGGGAGGCGAAAGAGAGAGAAAAAAAACCAGCAGCGACAAAGATATGTACGAAAGCTAGACCAGCTAAAAAGACGTATTATTGAATTGGCTGGGGCGTGTCGGGGTAGGGCACTGTAAGTATTCTTGAATTGAAGCTTGGGTCAAGTCGAGTACGGTACGGATAGAGGAGTTTAAAGTGAACCACAGGGCCGGGTGTTTGGGGCCACTAGGAGTGGCTTTGAGTTTTGACTTTGTCTTGTTTTGTCTTGTCTTGTCTTGTCCTTCTGGCTCTCACAGGGCAGGGCGGCAGCAAGCGTAGCGCACTGGGCATGAGCATGAACATGGGCAAGGGTGTGTAATGATCAAGTACTGTAGGTGCTGGGGGACGTGACCCTAGACAAGGCTTGGCCTTTAAGTTAGAGGGGAGGGGGAGAGGAGGGAGGAGAGTCTAGGTGCCCTGAACTTGATCTGGGATGGGATAGGACAGGATGGTATGGTATGGGAACGTCGTTGCCAGCACTTGATTTAGGCTTGCTCAGGCTGCCTGACCGTCAGTCCCTCCTCACTTCACCAGACTAGTGACGAGCAGTTGGTGGAGAGTTTCGGGTTGGCGTTCTTTGGATCACAGCAGGGCCACGAGCAGGGCTTAACTAACAGGCAGGATAGGACAGGGGCGGGACAGGTCCAGGGGGATGGAGATGGGAGATGCAGGTAAGGAAAAGCGGCGTGGTAGCGCGGAAGTGGATTGTGGGATAAAGGTCCAGAACCAGTGTCCGTAACGAGACTGGGGCGAATCTTCTTTCGACCAGATCAGACTCGAGAAAGTATCTGGAATCGAGAGTCACCTGAAAATCCCAATACAGTACGGACTATGGGCACCGGCCCGAGTGAACGGCGTGTTACAGAGAAAAATACAGAGACGGAAGATGAGGTGGGTTCTCTCACTTCGGGGTCCTCTGTCAACAATGCAATAGGGAAGCTGAGGCCAGATGCTCAGTGCGCCAGCCCGTAATATGTAGGCGCTCTGTTATAGCGATGGGACGGGCTTTAGCTGTCAGTTAGTATTGGTAGCCCAGCATTAAGGAAGTGACCGAGGCTCCTCTTGCGGGATTAGCGGACTATGATATCAATGCATAGGTAGGTAGTGTAAGCAGCGCAGAGGTCGACGACATTCGAGAAGAACGAAAACGAAATGACGGATGGAGCTTCGAACCAGCGGCCAAGGCGGCAGCGAAAATTAGTTGACAGGTACAAAATGTTCCGAAGAATTCAATGATGACAATCGTTAACTGTCGTTCGCTCAGTCAGCAAAAGCCAGCGGCGCACAAAGTAAAAACCAAAATCTAATTCCCGACGACGGGAGATTCGCGTGGGCATCCAATCGAGACGAAGATTTTGAGGAGCTTGGATGAAACGTATGCCGAGACTTGACCCAACAAGGAGGTGTCTGGCTGTGACAACCAGGCGCAGTTGCAGTCGCAGACGCAGATGCGGGCTGCAAAGCTGGCAGATTGGAGACATGCTCCCCCTCAGAACCTCATCATGTACATACAAAACTGATCGTGTTCGGCCAAGGACTTTGGACGCCTGGGAGGTTGCAGGAGGGGGGAGGGGGGTCATCCCGTCTCAAGGATGTGGATGTGGATGTGTGACAGGCATTCCATGGGATGGACATGAACAACCAGGCCAGCCTCGAGACCAGACCAGGGCCCTGTTGAACTGCGACAGTGTTCTGAGATCTCTCGCACTGAGTTATTGGTGTCGATGATGAAGCTCGAGAGGAATGCCGGTGGTGTGTGTGTGCTGCTGGTTGATTGACGACAATGATGGTGTTCGGCTCTTGTGTGACCTCCACTCCTTCCCTTCTTAGTTTCCTTCCTGTTCTGGTTCCTAACAAGCAACTGTCTCGCTTCTTCCCCTCCGTTCTTGCCAGTTACCATTCGAGATACGCGGGCTCAGGCACCTTCCGTCACGCACATGCCATGCCGCAGGGCTAGTTGCAGCATGCACATCACCTATTGGAGAAAGAAGCAACTTGACACTTAGGGCTGAAAAGGCTTTTTTAACAAGATTGCCAGCTTCCCGAATCGACACTGTCCACGATGCAGTACAGTACGGGAACGGCAGGTATCCATCCCGTATTAATCGCCCGTATCCACGGGGAACTCTCTTCATCGACCCGCAGCCTTACCTACCTACGGAGTATAGTAAAACGGATCTATATGCGATGCAGACCTTTGCGGGCGTAGAGACTCCTCCTCCCACCACGCTACAGTACAGTACTCACGCTACACCATCGACGCAGGATGCGGAATAATAGGCATGTATCAGAAGTGCAATGCAGCACAGCTCTAGCGCCATGAATTGTCAAGATTTCTGTGTCTTCGTTTATTAGACTCCTGGCCTAGCGTGCCAGGTGTCGCCCCTCGGCTCAGGAGGACGGTTGTTGAGATTCTCGAGTATTGCGTGTCTTGATTGGCAGGCTACAAATATATTCTTGATGATTTTCTACAAACAAGGTAGTTGTGTTGCAAGCCAAGAAACGAATGACGGTTGACCGTTGATCACCATGGTCCACTATGCTGAAAATAGCATGTACAGGTAATTACTTCTTCGATACAGAGTACGAATACTTCAACTGTAGCGACCATTATAATTTAGGATGAATACCTTGACCCTTTTGGTTTGACTAAACTCTCGGGTAGTTAATTCACGTCTCAAAATACAAGTCTATTCACCACACTGCAATTTAAACATGACGGAAAGAAGGCGCTTCGTTAGTGCACATGATGCCCAAAAGACGCACTATAAACATCCATACCAGTATGATCGCCATAATGAAACCGCCTCGAAAGCTCCCCTAGCAAGCCAGCTATTGGTGATTACCAGACAGAACCTATTGAAAGCACGATAGTGCCTGTCTTAGTGGCATCCCCGTCAATAAAAAGAAAAGTAAGTACCCATGACAAGGAGTACCTCGGCTCAAGTGGTTTTGACCCAAGTTTAGCCAGGTTTTTGAATGGATGTTTATTCATCCGCGAAACTTCCCTCTTACATAAACTTCCCGATTCTATTCATGGTAACAAAATGTTCATAATTAAGTAGTTAAGATTATCACTCTATCGTTTTGAGCGAATATAATGCACATCATATTGCATACAACAGCCAACTACCGACGTCGAGTATATCGAGTCAGAGTATTCACGTTACCAACATGCCTTGTATCAACTCGTGTGTCCCCTCGATATACATACTATTGACTAGGGGCTCTTTGCCCCTGAACTTGTGTGCACTGTTGTTCATGTTCTCTCTCATTGCAGGCTAGGGTATGTACAGCAACACATACATACGCCCAGCTGCCTTCTATATTGGGCTTACGCATAGTCTGGATCTACATTAATTGATAGGGCCCTGCTCCAGTTACCGACACCACGGCCAACTAGCGCCCTTGGAAACTTAGATATGAATTTCCTTGACCCATAGAAATAGATGAAATGCTAAACGATTCCTGTGCCAATATCTGCAATTGTCCTATTCGGGAGACGCCAAACCTGTAACGTGCTGCTTCTGTACCTTGTTTCTAGGCTCCATGTACACAAAGAGGACGTATGATGTATGGCTCCTTTGCTCGGTTGTACATTGCAGTGGACTAGTTCGTCGCATCTACTACCCAACCTCGTCAAGCAAGCCAACGATAATCTAGCTAGCTCTTCCGTTGTAGAACGCCTTGGTATAGTATCTTGCCACCACAACAAAATGACGACTCATGTCTCTACAGATGAGAATACATACCTACTAATTCAATGTATTGCTTTTCATTTCAAGTGGTCGCATGAGGATCGCCCGTGCAGGACGATGGCGTCGGCTGCAGCCATGCCACGCGGACATGCCGTTAGATTCGGGGGCCAAATTGCTGTGGTTCATGAAGGAGTAATGAACGACAGACCACAGTTGGTTTGTAACAAACTTGCATGAAGATTTGACAGTGTCTCGGAGATGAAGAATGTGCAGTGCTCCGAGTGCAAGACGCTCTTTTTGGTCGATCTAGGCGTGTCACATCATATTTGGTTACACGGGAAGTCTTGCTTCTTCTTGTCTGACAGACATACTGCAGCAACAGTGGAGTAGAGCATGATAGCATCAACCAAGGTCAACCGACATTCGTAAATTGCCCGTATTTTGACATGATCTAGCCAATAAACTACTTTGCATGTTTAGATTAAAACAACAGACCTTCGGACCCATCCTACCATTCAACCCGTACCCAGAGAGCAAAGATCTATTCCTCAAGTGGAAAAGAACTTGGTTTCCTAGCGCCATTATTGAAGATCGGCTGGAGAAACAGGACAACTCAATGACGGTCAACAGATTAGACTAGACCCATTTTCGCTTTTAGTGCTCCTGCATGAGAGACACGAGGATGATTCGCCTGCGGCGTCGCTTGCATTGAAGGTGCGACTGCAAGCAACGATAAATTACTTTCACATGCGTAGGTTGTTTCGACTGTGCGGTTGTACTACTGTATGGGATAAGCACGCACGTTAAAGATCAGGGACTTGCTAGTGGAGTTGGGGTTTGTGCCGAGGTACAGTTCCCCGATGGATCCCAACTCAAACTCCTGGGCTGCAGAACTGTCCTTGCTCTCAATGTCGACGGGGATCCCCGTTTCTTTACATGAATTTCTTTTTCTGTGCTTCTAACTACAAGGCACGGTCCGATGACTGATAGCTTAGTAGTTCGGGAAAATTACTAAACGTCCATCTTCATACTGTGGTGGTTTCAGTGTTTCCCCAAGCAGAACATTCCTCTTCTTCTTCTTGATCGGTGCGACGAATTTGAAGAGACTCGCTATGCTTCATGTCCATGTCACCCATCGGCGTCCTCCGCTCGAAACCTCATACCTCAAAGTGGGCAATCAAAACCGCGCGTCAACACATATGGCACCCCCGGTTCCTCATTGGCGGACGATGATTGCTGCAATTCCTTCAGTCTTTTATCAAGGGCTCAGACGTGAGCCTTGAGCCCCCCAACGCTCACTGTGAAATAACCCATGCTAACTAACCCCAGGGTAAATCGTTGCCCCATTATCGTTGCATTACAACTGAGTCGGCTATAGTGCAGTGGGCAACGATCCTCAGTTGTTAGTAATAGTTGTGTAAAAATATCTTGGCCGTGCGGGCGTTGGTTTGTCTCTTGTAGCCTTGGATCTTTAATGCTTCCCCTATGGTCCTTCCCGCCCACTTCGAATCGGGCCGCGGAGCAATCTCTGGCATTCTGGCAGCCATGATCAGCGCGTATGATTCAAGTCAATGTAGGTACATAATAGACAGCTACGCTACGTAGAAAACTGTGGGAGCGGGAACGGGTCCTGCAGATAATCCTCCCGGTCTGGCCTGGCTGGTATTGCTGGTCAGACAATCAGTCGATGAAGCTACCCTATTAGAGAAACTACCTCCGACTTTACATAGATCGCGCGCCACGATCCTCTGGTGCGTGCGATCGAACTACGCCATATGGTCCATTGTCCAATGGCAACCGAGGCAGCGCTTCTGAGCGTCTTCCAAGCGCGTTCCTTGCAAGGATGGTCGTCCCGGATAACATCCCACGGATGTTCCAGAAACACTCGGCCGGCATTCCGTCCTCAATCTCCATGCCATGGTCTGCCATGACCACATCTAGGGGTCGTCAAATTGCTGAAGACGCCCCTCCATCTCACCCCTAATATGGGACCTGTCAAAACCTGTCCGTGCTGGCCGTGCTTTCGAGAACTTTTTAAAGTAGTGGAGACTAGACATTATTAGCAGACTATGGAAATTACAATGCGTACGTATGTATTGTCGTTTCTCACCGCCAGCATTGTTTGCCAGTGAGCTCCTAAGTTTGTACGCGCTGTAATGGTTGGGATGCTGGTACATAGCGGTAAGCAATATACAACCTACGACACGTCTTACACCCCGCGCCTAAGAATCCTTGCTCGTTGAATTATACGCACCTATTGCGTGCGATAAAAATGTCGAAAATTGATCATCAATGCCCAATGAAAAGTCAATATCATCCTTCAACATCTACCGAATGTTGATCATCAACAAAATTCAACTTAGTAATACGAAAAAAATGGGTTCGATGGAAGTTGATAGTGCTGCGCCTCACCACGAGGCTCGTTTGATGTGGCGTAACGCCTCCGGTTTGATGTAATACCCCCTCCCCCTCCTTCAACTTCAACTCCTTCCCCATACAACGACAACCTGGTTCATTAACAACGAAACCAAGACCAGCCTCCAAATTAGCATAACAGCGATTGCAGCTTTTATCAATCTCCACCATCCGGTCTCCTGAATCTGTTCTGTTTACCGGCCCCTGATTGTTATTATTCCTTGCTGCATCACCTCGCCTCGATAGCCTCAAAGCCTTGGCCACCTCAGATCCCTGCATATCTCGCTTTTGAGCTCGCACAGCTATCGCAAATTCACAATGACGACTTTGGATAATGCGAACCCGACAATCCTGAGCGCTTCGCAGTTGCCAACCCGGCAAAAGAAGGCTGAGCCACGTCGGGGTCCTGAGTCAAGATACGACGATATCATCTTTGCAAAGCCATCCTATCTATCAGGTCCTTTTGCCGGCCCGACTTCTGCCGCATGGCCTCAACTCAATGACCAACACGATGAGCTTTCATCCGAAGCCATTGATGAACAAGAGATTTATGGTATGTGCCCCCAAACCCACTTGAGTCATTTCTTTGGTGAATTCGCCACATCCACATCTTCGTGCCCAGTGACCCTGAGGCTCGAGCTCCACGAACATCCTCATATCACGCAAGCGACCTAGTATTTGTTTTCGCCCTTTATGGACGTACGATACTAACATTGGAAAGATCTAATCTCAACAATCTCGGATCCTGAGCACCCGGTTTCACTGGGCCAGCTGTCAGTGATCAACCTCTCTGATATCCACATCACTCCTTCTCCCGCTTTTGGTGTTCCTGACCCAAACACAATTGTGCAGGTGGTTGTGGAGATCACACCAACCATCACCCACTGCTCATTGGCTACTGTCATTGGGCTTGGAGTTCGAGTTAGACTTGAACAAGCACTGCCGCCCAACTACCGCGTCGATGTGACCTGCAAGGAGAACAGTCACAACCAAGACGATCAAGTCAACAAGCAGTTAGGCGACAAGGAGCGAGTTGCTGCCGCTCTGGAAAATGATACCCTGAAGGGAGTTCTGGACAAGATGCTGGAGACATGCGCTTAGTCATGGCCTACCATCATCGACCCTCACTCTTTTAGAAGCTTCCAAAGTCGCATGGATAATGCTTGCTGATCTTCGTTGCCCACTATCGACTGGTGTCATTGCTACTTTGATAGCCAAAACGCGACATCGTTTTCGTACCGAAGCTTGATGGCAAACGCGAAAATACCACCCTTCCATCGATGTCTTGAATCTCGGCATTCAAGACGGGGTATTCATTAGTCTTGGATAGACTGAACCGGTGAACTGGTAATAAACATACAACTGGGGAAAATACCGACTCGTGATTGGAGAAGAAGAATAAGGACATCAATCAAGGCCCCTCATTCATCTAAATAAGGTTCAAGCTACCACCGCGAACATATCACGCTGCTCAAAACGGATATTCTAATACGTGAACAATTACACCGCAACCATGTGGGCATGTCATTGTACGTATCAGACTATTGACGCTGGAGTCCTTTAGTGGGAGCCGTACAATGTCATCGAGCCCCAGACCCGGCATTGTTGCGGCTACACAGGCTAGACTTTCGCGCAATCGTTGGGTATTACATACAAAATCGCACATATTGACATTTGCACGGATTCCTTCAACATTGTCTATAAGTCTCTCTCTTCTTCATCTTATCATGCATAAAGAACGACGTCGACCAGATGCCACGATTAGGTTTCCGGTTTGGGAACCATCCTCGTACCACACAAAGTTCCGCCCTATGTTACGCGTGCCAAGTCCCCCACTTTCGCCGCAAGTTCAACGTCCTGGAAAGAGTCTGGGCCCCCATGCCTATTCTTCCTGGCCTCGACTCCTTGACAGGTGCGGAATCTGCCGCCACGAAACGTCATGCTTGACTTGTCGGCCCTTTTTCGAAGCCAGGTGACAAGGGCTTTTATAGCGCATAGTTGCACTATCAAGAGCCGTCGCGTGCCTCCCACGCAACTCGACTACCGTGATGTATGTGCTGCCAAGACAAGTAGTTCCCGTTTGGCAGGTCGAAAGAGCTGGGGAATTAAACTACTGATCATATCATGCTTCGGTCAAGCCCCGGTGGGTGCAAATGCGCTACACTTGCATTGGCAACAGATCCTCGTGGCCGACAGCCACGTCCCCAGGTCCAGGAGTTCTACCATTCCGAATACATACATTCATTCAAATACCCAGGAACTAACCCCCGCCTCCCCGGTGCACTTGGCCTGCGGTGTTGTGGACGCCAGGATCAAAGCTTGCATGCCCCTTCGACAGTCTCAAATAATATGTTTGGGGGGAAGCAACCTTGCCTTGCGGCTGTGTGACGATCCCCCGATCTTGCAACTCCCGCAGGAAGACCCCCGGTTGCTAAAAGGCCCCAGGATTGGCTCGCCATTCAACTTGCTTGACGGGCAGACATGCATCTCTGAGTGCCGATCAGCAAGTAAACATGATCGGACGCATTTGTCCACACTCCGCAAAATTTTGACAAGTACTCCAAGACACACTTGGCTGTAACCAATCCTGCATATGTTGCTTTCTCGTGATAGCATTGGGCCACCAGTGTCTTGGTAAAATTTCACCCATGGTCAATAAAGAGCTTGCCAGTGAGCAAGTGCATCCTTCGTCGCTTCTCGTCAGCGCTTAAGACTAACGTTCCACCTTCAGGCGTGGACTTGCTTTTTATTATCCTTTACTTAGGTCAATGTACCTGGCATACGGGTAGATGGGGCGGCTCAGAGCCATTGTTGTTCCCGATGCTCCTAGCAAACCTTACATCCTGTCAATTATCCCTGTCAAAATGCTTATCAAGTGCTTCGTCATATACTTTTCCACGAGGTTGATGCCATGGTCCCTGGAATTTGGCAAGGTTTCTTGGGAAAAGACCCATCAAGATCACCGGTTCATCGTCCCGTAGAAACTTCCACGAGGCCGCTGGGGCAACTCTGATTCTTTCTCCGTAGGATTGATACTGCTGCTTGACTGATCTCAACGGCGACGCTAGTCCTAATACCATAAAATTGTACTTAGCCTCTTAACCTGTTGCACAGGCTGTCGTATACATACCCATGACGCTACAACCTGCACGGCAAAGTAGAGAGGATAAAATCCCCTAGCATCATCGTTACCGTCGCAAACCTACCAATGAGCAAAGTACACACTCATTGTCGGTGACAAGGTAGCAAGAGCTAGTCATAACCGAACTTAACTCGCACGACAGGCTGAGACTCGTCCGAAATGAGAGAGAGAAGTCGAAACAAAGGTCAGAGAGCATCAAACATTTGGCCTTGATTTCTGATTATCATTCCCTGTTTATGCTGGTATATCTGAAACATTTCCGGTCGTTTTAATTAGCCTCCCAACGTTTTTGCAGTACGCCACCAATCTTTCAACTTTCATCCTTGTAGCAAAAACACACGTTGTCCAAGCCCTAGTCTATGACTATATATTTCTGATCATAGCAAAAGGTCCCAACCTTTTGGGGTTAAGCTACAATATGATCCTGGAAGGAGCCTACACACGCAACCCTTGTTTCACCCCTGCCTCGCGAATTAAACCATCCAGACTTTCAGTGCTCTAGATCTCCCCCAACATTCCGCTCTCCATTAGACTCTGGTAGAATTCAGGCTCAAGGAACGTCTTGACGCTAACGTCTTCGCTGAGACCCTTGCGCTTTCGTGTCTTGAGGACGAAATCGCGAGCGGTGGCTTGTGCGGTAGCAGGCTGGAGTGGGCGGATGATCTGCTCGCGATCGAGAGGATCACCAGGCACGATACTCCAGCTGTCAAAGACGAGACTTACCATGGAGCTACCCTGAGTCTTGATTCGTAGATCTGTTTCGAAACCGAAACTGTCAATGACTGGTAGCAATCCGTTCACGCGATATAGCGGCGTGCCAGCAACAGGACCGTCTGATAGAACATGGCCGCGACGACGTGAAAGCACGTTGTAAACTTCCATGTATGACTCCTCAGGTCCTGTTACTGAGACTGAATAGACAGGTTCCATAAGTCGAGGCGAGGCCATGAGGAAGGATGAATAACACGCTCGCCGAGAAGTGGGGATGATCTGGCCACCTCCGCGGAAGATGGCCTCGTTGGCCAGAAGCACGTCTGTAACCTTGAACTTTGTGTTTCGTATCGCTATTGTCTCATGTTAGTACTCGTTCTGTATAGATAGTCTTTGTGTGTGTATCTTGATCATTTGGGGCAGGGGTTCAAGGGCGTTATTATCTGCCGCCAGGAGGGAAAAGATCGCCGGCCATTGTTATCCGGTTGTTCCTGATGGCGGTCAAGCGGCTCTTGCCGTTGCACTGTGCCATTGAAGCAAACGACCAACACAGCGGAGATGGGTGGCACCATCAACACCCTGCGAACGCCATCATCTGGAGACGCCAAGTCTTTTGCCAGCCGTGCAATATGTCAGCAAGCAGGCAAGGCATGGCGAATGTCAGATGTGGAGAGTTCAAAACTCCACAAGGCATCGCCCCTGACGCTGTCGTGATCCACAGCCAGTATAACTAGCTGATAACGAAACGACCACGATATCCACTCTTCAGTTGAGAAGTGCGGGTATACTGTCGATACAACGTAACGTCCAAAACGAAGATCAAACTGCAGAAAAAGAAAAAGAGGACTCACGTTCTTCACACAAGGGACCCTCGCGGGTTGCCCAGCTAAATCCTTGTCGGATAGATTCCCTGACTGCGTTGAGGGTTTTCTTGTCCACCTGAAATATGGTTAGCCGAGCTCATGATATTAGGGGACTGCGAGAAATATTCGGCATGATATGCCCAGAAAACTTACTTCGGTGGGGAGAGTATCGTCTTGAAGAATGTTGGGTCCTGTCTCTTCAGGCCCGAATGCCCAGATACTGCGGGCAGCCAGCTTGTCCCAGCCGTGCTTCTCTTCGAAGAACTTGGCCGTCTTTCGAATAGGATCGCGGATGTTTACTGCTCCGCTCTCAATATCATTTGAGATACCCTTCTCCAGCTGCTCGGCAACCATGGTGATCTTGTTCTTCTTGTTTGGTGTGATAGCATAGCACTTTGTCGCTGATGTCTCGACAACAGTCTCACAGAACCGTGTGACGGGATCAGATACCTTGATATCCATATCAGCATATAGACGACGCAAGTCGTGCAACACACAGTCCATATACAGCTCTCCAGTTCCGAGGACAACGTGTTCACCTGACTCCTCGACCTTGGTCTTGATAAGGGGGTAAGACTTTTGAATCCTTCTCAGACCGTCAAGCATCTTGGGAAGTTCTGAAGGGTTGATGGGCTCAGCAGCGACCTTGAGGACCGACTCCGTGAAGTGTGTGATGGGCTTGAAGATGTAAGCATCCTCGTCGTCTTCCAGTTTAGGAGGGAGGATGGTGGCTGACTTGACGATAGAGTTGTCAACGCCGCTAAGCAGTACGAGGTTACCGGCTGGAACACCATCTGTAGGGATGTTGTATCTTGTCTCGCCGATGAAAACTTCTGCAATATTCGCCATAGCCATATCTTCTTCGTCGTCCAGGGAGTAGCCCTCACCAAGAACACGAACTTGCATGCCTGGTCGGACTGTTCCACTTAGCACACGGCCAAAAGAATGGAAGCTCTTGGCGTCTGCTGTGTTGAAGAGTTTTGTGATATGCACGACCAATGGCCCATCCTGATCGCAAGTTTTCATTGACGCAGCGACCTTGGTGTCCAAGGGACCAGTGTAATATCTCTCCAGTAATCGCTCAGCAGTCTCGATGGGTGATGGGATGTGCTTGACAATCATATCTACAAAGCCGGTTGAAGGGCCGAAGAACTGCTCACAGACTAGCTTCAGGAGCACCTTAGCATCGGCCTTGTACTGTGAAGGCTTCAGCTCAATGCCCAGTGAAGCCAAAACCGGCTTCAACTCCTCAGGGCTGTCGCTGATAGAGTGCGTGAAGATTTTGTAGATGGGTTCGAGGACGAAGTGGACGAATGAACGTGATGAACGCTCGTCGATAGGCTTTCGTGAGAAATTTCGCTTCTTGGGGTTGTAGTAGATGTCGCCCCATAATCGCTTCGCGAACTCGTCGACGTTGATATCGCCAAAAGTATCTGTGTACATCTTGGCGAAACTTGGTAGTGTAAAACACCAGCCCATATCCGTGCAGGCAAAGAGGACATTGCCCTTTTCGGGGCTTATTCGCTTTGAAGCAGCCTTGGTAGGTGCTGTGTTTGTGATGATAGTATTCACCTCCTCAACAACGTGCTTGAGCTTGAAGTATGCGTCCTTGGGCGGTAGCTTCAGCTCGAGAATAAGGCGATCCATCTTGTTGATGATAAGTGTCAGGGGGATGTCCTCAAGAACAGCATGCTTGATGATCTGCTCTGTGTTGATCTGAACTCCTTCGACAACATCCACCACCAAACAAACACCGTCGACTAATCGGAAGGAGGCAGCGACTTCATCGACAAAGTTGACATGTCCAGGGGTATCGATCAAGTTGACAAGATGCGACTTGCCCTTGGTGCTGGGCAGCACCAGACTCATTGGTGCAGCCTTGATAGATAGTCCCCTCTCCCTCTCCAGAATATGGATGTCTGTATATCTCAATTGTTCGTCGCGGTGCTTGCCCACTCTTCGTTCCAATCGGTCTGTAATGTCGTGTGTCTCGAGGACCAACATATCCATAAAGGCCGTCTTTCCATGGTGCAAATGTCCTGCTAGTGCTACATTTCGTGTCTGTTCGGGAAAGTTCATCAAGTCTGTCATGAATTCGCGGTCGAAAAAGACGGGTGGAAGATCGGCTTCCTCGATGTTGAACTTCTTCTGCTCGACAGGCGCGATGATGGGCTGGGACAGCGGCTGTGCGTCCTCTTCTTCCACACGGGTCTCGACATCGGCTCCGTACACCTGCTCGGCGGTCGGATAGTACTGTTTGTCTTCGTGAAGTATAATCGCGTTTGATGGTCCATCTGTAGAGCGCAGGAATTAGCATATGTCCATGGATGAAAGCTTGCATGGGTTCATACCGTCAAGCTCCATGAGCTCCTGGCCCGTCACCCCAGGGGTCTCATCTGGTTCATCATCATAGACGTAGTCGCCCGCATCAACGCCCACCTCGGAACCCTCCTCTGACTCGACCTCCTCACCAATGAAGTTACCGAACCTGTGGTTACAAGTCAGCGCGCCGTCAACATGTCAAGCTCGAAACGCGACTGAGGAAGATACGTACTCGTCGTAAAGATCATCCATGTTTAACGATTATTGATTAATGCGCAAATATGTTGTAGTGAATGCGCAAAAAGATTGGCGATCAAGGAATGAATGTAAATGCAGCCTTGAATCGTCGTCAATCTTGTCACCTAAAACTCACTTTGGCTCGCCTGGCGTTGCGCGCAGCTAGCTCTGTCGCCAACTTTTTCGATATCACGTGCTATGTATCATAAAAAGTCAGGTACCTCTAACTGAGGCGGGAGGCAGGTACAAGTGGGGCCGGAATTCGACAAGGGACCTACCTACCTTCCCATGCCACCAACCGACAGCGGCACCTGCAGCGTATTCGCAAGAGCCGTGCCCCTCCAGGCCCTCCAAGGCCTCCCGAATTCGAGGATTGTAACCACACAGTAATACGGGTAAGAGGGGCATTGATTACTTTTCTGCTTCATTATCCAATGTTAGCCTTGAAGCTAATTCCTTCTGGAGGTAAGTCCAGTCTCGCTTGCAGACTTGCAGCCAAGGAAGGTTGCAGCTTCGCTTCTATTCTCTCAACAAATTTGCCGCCGGTTTCCGCTCCACCTTAGTCTAGCTCCTTTATATAGATTGATAAACTGAGAGCTCCCATCTGACGATCCTTTTGTTCTTGTAAACTTCATCCATCATCAACTGTCAAAATGGCCAACCTTCCCCCCGTCTACATCGTCTCTACCGCCCGTACGCCTATCGGCTCTTTCCTTGGGTAAGCAATGCTTTTAACTTGGACAATTGCTGCCGTATTTTTACGTTGACTAACATGATCATAGCTCTTTGTCAAGCCAGACCGCTGTTCAACTGGGCTCAGTCGCCATCAAGGGTATGGACAAACCACACTGCGAAAGACGACATGAAGCGGCCAATATACTAATTTCACCCTTCAGGAGCCGTCGAGCGTGCCGGTATTAAGCCTGAGGATGTCGACGAGGTCTTCTTTGGCAATGTTCTCTCTGCTGGGTAGGTTTTCCCTCTACCCCGCCATCATGATCTCGACCACTCGAGGCAACAAGTTCTTTACTGATTTAAATCTTTCAGTGTCGGTCAGGGCCCTGCCCGCCAATGTGCCCTTGGCGCTGGTCTCCCTCAAACTGTCATCGCCACAACCGTGAACAAGGTCTGCGCTTCTTCGCTCAAGGCCATCATCCTTGGTGCCCAGAACATCATGCTCGGCACCTCCGATATCGTCGTTGCTGGTGGAACCGAGTCCATGTCCAACACTCCTCACTACCTCCCCAACCTCCGAAACGGTGCCAAGTACGGCGACCAGACCCTCGTCGACGGTGTCCTCAAGGACGGTCTGACCGACTCCTTCAAGAAGGACCACATGGGTATCTCTGCTGAGCTCTGTGTCGATGACCACGAGCTCACCCGTGAGGCTCAGGACGAGTACGCCATCAACTCTTACAAGAAGGCTCAGGCTGCTACTGAGGCCGGTCTCTTCACTGAGATTGTCCCTGTCGAGATCCCTGGTGGCCGTGGCAAGCCCGCCATCAAGGTCGAGCGTGATGATGAGGTCAAGAACCTGAACGTTGACAAGCTCAAGGCCATGCGCCCTGCTTTCAAGCCCGACGGTACCGTTACTGCTCCCAACGCTGCCCCCATCAACGATGGTGCCGCCGCTGTTGTCCTCGTTTCTGAGGCCAAGCTCAAGGAGCTCAACCTCAAGCCCGTTGCCAAGATTCTTGGTTGGGGTGATGCTGAGCGTGAGCCTGAGCGTTTCACTATTGCTCCTGCTCTGGCCATTCCCAAGGCCATCAAGCACGCTGGTTTGACCGCTGAGCAGATTGAGTACTACGAGATCAACGAGGCCTTCTCTGCTGTTGCCCTCGCCAACATGAAGATCCTTGGTCTTAAGCCTGAGCAGGTTAACGTCTATGGTGGTTCCGTTGCCATCGGCCACCCTCTTGGCTGCTCTGGTGCTCGTATTGTCACCACCCTTGCCTCCGTGCTCAAGGAGAAGAAGGCCAAGATTGGTGCCGTTGGTATTTGCAACGGTGGCGGTGGTGCTTCCGCTTTGGTCATTGAGAACCTGCAATAAAAGGGGCGACGGATTGATAATTGATGATTTTGGACGACATAAATATGAATGGGCATGCAATGCAGTGAATTGCAAAAGTTAGATCGACTGCCAGATCAGGCGTATATCGATGCGGCTTATGATTTCTTGCTCGAAGATATACCACTTGCATAACCATTAGAGTAGATATAAATACTTTTAATCAAGAACAGGAGATCAGCATAATCTCTGTATTTGAACACATCTACCCATTGAGCCTAAATGTCAGATGAAGTGCAACATGCCACAGTACTGCTATGCGGCAGTGATTATAGAAACCTTACTACTTACCTTTTTGCAACTATCACAGGGTTTGGTGTAGCTAAAAATTTCAATGGTCCGTAACGCATAATTTTAACGCTATATCTCGGTTCTATTTTGTTCATTCGCCTTTGATCAATTGGGTCTCCAAGCCTTGACATTTCCATCTTCACCAGCTGTGTACACAACATGCGCTTCATCAAAGAAGCAAAACGATCGCACAATCTCATCACCATGAGCACCAGGCAAACCGACACTGTTTTCCCGATCCAGAGCCCACCCCTCGCCATTGGGGTTCTTGGCCAGGAATACGAGCTCAAATGCTTGCTTACTGTACCTTGTTAGCACTGATATGTTTGTATGTGGTGTTGTACTTACTCTTGGGCTCCGGCACCGAGAACAGCGCCGCTACCGTCCATCTTGGGCGTAATGTCGGCGACGTATTGGCATCCAAGGACAGATCTCATATCGCCAAAGTCCTGTACTGCATCACCGTTTGCGCGCTCCTCGCTCACGTCGTAAAGAGCACAGCGCTCGTCGTGTGAAAGCGCTGCGACTTCTGTTGCTGAGAGCCATGCAGCGCGGTGGATGGAAGAGTCGACGTTGCAGGTCTGCACGGTAAGGTCGTCCTCATCTGCGATGCGGGTGTCGTAGATGTTTACAAGACCGTCAGTTGAGCCGGACAGGAGAAGTGCCGGGTTAGAGGGGTTGAAGGAAAGATCTGTTACGTCGTCGCTGTGGACTTCCTGGTAGTGTGCTTTGGAGGTCGGGGTAGATCGGACGTCCCTATGAATGTTTAGATGAAGTTCCTTTCTGTGAGGAAAGTGAAGATGTACCAGAGATGGATAGATGCTGCGTGGTTCTGAAGTTCTGTTCCTACTGCGATGGTCTGTGTATCTAGATTACAAGCCATGGAAAAGATGGGCGCTTGACTCGCTGTAAAATCCGTCAGTCAGTATTCATCAGAGATGATGAGGACAAACCTCACCTTGGAACTGCACAACGTTGGAGCCCTGTCTCAAATCCCATACTGCAACAGTTCCATTTTCACCAGCCGTACAAACAAGCGCAGCATTGCTATCAAACACACGCAACGTCGTCAAGTTACCGTGCTGAGTTGGAAGACGGCGCTGAGGACCTGCTGAGAGACGGGTTGGGTCGAGGACAGAAAGGAACTGATCTGATGAGATGGATGCGAGACCGGCAGATGTTCTTTGAATGTCGAGGACGTATACGTCTCTGCCGAGAGAGAGGCCGTCGGCGCAGGTGAGTGAGTACATGATGATGGCTGTGAAGAGTGTTAGTGAGGTTGAGGTGCTGAGATTTTGAATGGCTTTTGTGAAGGGGAATGTTGAAGGGCCTCTTCACTCAGGCTACAATGAAAAATCATTTAAAGGGAATAAGACAACCGGGCATACCTTTGTTTGTTTTAATACCCTCGTTATTGTCTTTTGATCTCTGTATAAGCCCTGATGTGCCCGTCCAAGATCGAAGTCTTCAAAGTCCCACTTTTTGAGAATGGCGGCCTCGATAACTGAATATCGCCGCCCAACTCTTGGAACTCGATCCAACACAAAATATAGAGATGAATGTTTTAGACGGAGTGATAAATTTCTCTAAGATAGATCTTATATCCCATTTATCATTGAGGAGTAGCACTATTGTCTAAAAGTAATCAGGTTCGATCATTTACTAAAACATGAGAAATCTACTGTATGAAACGACTGTTCTAATCTTACAAGTAGTAGTACAATTATTATCTATCTGAGGTATTGCGTACAGTCATCTCCCCCTTCTAACATGATCGCTAGCTAAATAAAAAGACCAATTGTAATTCCAGAGAGGAGCTCTTATTTCGCCTCGTCGCCAGCCGTCCTCCCTGTTTGTAACGCCAAATCATCATTTATAAATGCTTTCCCTTTTCTCTCCACCATCTTCTTCGGGGTATTTCCTTTTCACTATTTTGTTCCATCATTTTGGGAAATCTGCGAGCTTTATTCGGCGTTGGTGCTGCTGTTCAGACGTCGCTCATTCACACCACGGAATGCTCGCTTACCGACCTCATAGCTGCTGATCATGATGGCGCATGCCGGAGCAACCTTGAGGGTTCGTGGGATCCATCCCTTCCATAGGCCTGAAGCACCTTCTGTCTTGAAGATGTGCCAGAGAAGATTCACCATACTGCGCTGCTCGGGCGCGGCTGCACTGGCGCTGCTTTGCTTGACTTTCTTTGAAGTATCCTGATAAATCTGCGTTCGCGTCTTGCCGACATCAAAAGGCGTTGTGACGAATGAGGCAAAGGCTCCAGACAGGGCACCTGCTGTGAAAGCGTCGACAAAGGTTTCGGTATGGTTCTCCTGGACTTGCGATCTCCTCCTTGCTTCTGCCAGCTCTTCTTCAAATGACAAGGAGCTGCCTTGGCGCTGTTCTCGGTAATCCGTCAATCTTGATCGTATCGATTCATACCCCCACCAGTACAGACCCGAGAAAGGAACATCTCTCCACAGAGTTAAGGTCAAGCCTCGCCACAGCGCAGTATACCCATGTGTCCCGACCATTCCCTTGACACTTTCGAATGCCTCCACAAGGTGATTTGATGTCGATGCTCCAGAAGCCGCTTGCATTCGTGTCTTGACAAGCTCGATTGGGCTCACGGCCGTAGCTGCGAGGATTCGAGCAGCGGATCCAGCCGTCAGAGGTGCCGATGTATCGGAGAATCGTGAAAAAGGACTATTCGAGTTGAATCGCAGGTAATCGTATCCAGTAAAGTAAATGATATTTGAAGGAACAGCCATGACAAGCGTAGGTGATAAGCCCCTCCAAAGAGTTGCGACGCCTTCATTGCGGGCAATCTTTCGCAGACCGTCAAAAGTAGAGCTGAAAGTGCGGCGCTGAACTTCTTCAACGGCGCATTCAGCTGGGGCGGGAGGCGCAGACGTAATGCCGTCTATCCTAGGCGCTGCGAGGCAGAATTCGGCATTACCTCCGGAGAAGAAGACTTCGCGACAGCATGATGTGATACCGAGTTCGGCGGTTTGGGCGGGGGAGAGGGAGGAAGTGGTTATGGCGAGTTTGGAAAAGTCGACGGTGGATCGAGGAGCTTTTTGCGACTGGAGGCGCACGCGGACGACGTCGAGAGGTGTGACTGGACGAGACACGGATCAGTATGTGGTTTCATTAGTGATTAAGTGTAAGAGACATACCAAGTAATGACGTTAATAGACTGCCCGACATGGCCGACACCATCTTTTGCGTCGCAGTAATATCAACAACGCTGCTGCCCTTTCCATCTCCTGCGGCTGGTATTGAGCTACTACCGCTGAGAATGTCCCTCGAATTGTCGGGACTGTTTGGTTCAGCATCCATCATATGGCGTAATGAGAACTCGTCGTCGTTTTGGAGGGGGTTTTGGTGGTGGTGGTGATGGTCGTAGCCACCAGGGCGATTTGTACCGATAGTGGCCATTTTTGGTGGGATGCGAGTATATATGCAATCTCTTCAGTTCATGGCCGGGCAATTGATGCAAGAGTTGAATCCAATCTCGATGGACGATAGGAGAGAAGAGTGATATGTAAAGAGAGGGAACAGTAGGTAAGTAGGATTAGGTAGTTGTGAAGTGTCGATGACGATGACTCGACGACGGTAGCGGTTTTCGATGGATAGCTTCGCAGTTGGTCGTAGTGGCGATCGAATAGAATGAGGGGAACAAATGCTCCTTGCTATTTTGATAGATTGTTGCTTGTTGATTTGTTTGTTGGAGAATTGTTCGGAAGTAAAAACCCGAACAATTAAAAATCGATAGAGCACTCTGTAGAATGTTGGGGAATTAAAAACGTAAAAAAGACACTCAGGCTCCGGGTTGAAATCCCCGAGGCCGGCCGGAGGAGGAGTCGAGATCGGTCTGTCGGCTAGTATCGTCTTGAGAAGAATATCTCGTTGGGTCCTCTTTAATTGCGCTTTAGTATTGATAGTATCTTTAGGAGGTAAAGATTAATTCCATCTTGTTATTTTTATCTTTGTCTCTATACTGTGCTCTCTGTGTTTCTTATCGCAATCTTCTTCCTTACCAAGCAAACAAACAAACCAAAAAAAAAAGTGACGATTATCGCCTCCCCGGAGTCGGAAGCTCGGTGAATTGGGCCTTTCACAGGTACAGAATAGAAAGGTACGTACCGAAAATATGCGGTCATTTTAGCTGTCACCTGGGCTTGTGAGAGCCGCAGATTTCCGTTAACATGATGTCACGAAGAGTTTTGATTGGTTGCGATATGAAAATGAAACCTCCGGGTCAAAAGGGTTGTGGCCCAAGCCTCTTTTTGAGTGGATGATGATGGTTTTGATAAGATAATCTTTACCCTGTACCTTTGACTTATTACTCCTTTCCAACGAATTCAACAACAGCTCGTACAAACTCGTCAGGGTTCTCGTCTGCGATCCAATTTCCGCTCTTGGGAACCGATACAACACTAATAGTTCCCTTTTCGTGAACTTCTTCCATCATCTACTCTGCTACTTGACTCAACTGACACTCACTCTCCACCGTTGAAACCTAGTGCTCTTACTTTGCACTTGCCATGTTCGTCAACCCACTTTCGGTTCTCCTCCGAGTCTTTCCTGAATGCTCTGTATATATTGAATCCGGCGTAAAGCTCCTGGACGTGAACGAGACCTAGTGGGTAGCAGAATAATTGACCTCCTAAGTCTTAGAGTTGACAAATAGGTAGTCTAAAACTATAGTCTAAGAAGCATAAAGTGACCTACAAATCTCGTCTCTTATGCTTCCAGCGCAAACCCATAGCTCTTGACACGGCTAAAGAAGTAGGGTTTGTCGTTCTTCAAGTGGAACTCAGCCCAGTCATCTGTGAGCTTATTGTAGCTGTAGAAACCACGCCACATGAGCTTGTTATTGCGGGCACCTTTGCCGGCACTTCGAAGCGAGAGATCCATGCGGTACATGTATTTTGATCCAACGCCCTCGGTCTCAATGAAGACGTCACCTTCTGGATCACGATCTCGATCATGCGCGCCTGCAGCAGTTGAGCCTGCAACAGTCGAGACTGGAAGATCTATGGTTGCAGGATCATCCCTGTCAGCAGCGGATGATAGGCGCCATCGGCCGCGAAGAGCGAGAGCCATCACAGCTGATGGTAGATGAGGTTGTGCAGCGCCTCGGTGGACGTTGAGCTCGTCACGTGTGAGGTGATGCACCACGTCCGCAGGCTCGTTGGTGGTAAGAAGACTGATGAGAGTACCGTCTCTGAAGAAGCGGAGATAACGGTAGTAAGTCACGATATGGATCGGACTACCCCATGTAGGCTGGTTCGTCGAGGCTTGTCCGGTACGGATATAGTTGACAGTGGAAATATAGCAGCCGTTGAAGCGGATTCGTGGTCGTGAGCGGAGGAGGTTCTTCCAAGTAGGGTACACAGACGGTGTCAAAGACTCGGTGAAAGCGATATTGGCATCTTTTCTGCGCTGTGCAAGCTCAGAGGGGCTTACGACGAAGCCATCTTGAATCTCTGGACCTTCTTGCTCTTCTTCTGGTAATTCATCCCACTCTACGCCCTTCTCGAAGCGGTACAGCTGAGAACTGAAGCCGACTTCTGAACCAAGAGCTACGCGGCGCCAGATACGCTGCTCTGAAGCGACGAGGTAGGCAAGACGCTTGCACACGCGGGATAGTCGGGCAAAATCTCCAACGTCTGCTATGGCGATGTCGCGGAGGATGTGAATGAGGATTTCATCGGGAAGATCAGCCAGCGGGCAGGGTGGCTCTGGCATGCCCTCGACAGGAGGCGGAGCTGGTTCAATCTTCAAACCGGCGAAACTAGCGATGAGTTCTCCTATAGGCAGAGGCTTTGACTCTACGGGCTCCTCTGGTTTGGGGGGTTGTGCCTCTGGCACGCTTGCTGGAGTGGATGCTTTGGTAGCTGTTGGCGAAACGGGTCGTGGAGCTGACTTTTGAGGGAAGTGCTTCTCACGATATCTCCGATCAACACCATTATCAAGCTATGAACCGAATCAGTAACGTTGCGTGCAATCTGGTGAGGTTATACATACGCGGTAGGCCTTGCGGTAAAGCTTGAGACTATCACCCATATTGCCCTGCTCCTCTTTATGCATCGCCTCCTCAAAATGATCCAGAGCAGAAACAAGCTGCTTTCCCTTGCGATCATGATGGGTCTCCTGGGACGGCTGCGTCAAAGCAGGTTCCTCCCGGTCAAAAGAAGGGCTCTGCACGTAATCATCTTCATCTTCACCAACATCTGTCGGCGCAGGTGCGGGCTTGTGAGGCAATGATGAGATAGGACCATGATGAGGCCGTCTCGATGAGGATGACCCTCCGGATGTCTCAGCAGGTGGCTCTGGATGGTCGTTTCTGGTTTTGAGATCTGAGAGCCATTTCTGTCGAAAAGACTCGAGTTCCGAGTTTAACAAGTTTTCGTTTGTTGATGATGACATGGTTTTAGTCCTCCAGCACCGTTTAACGGATATTTATGTATAGTAGATAGATAGATAGTGGCGGTGGAATCTCTCTTTTCTTACTGAGGATTCATTATCACGTTTTATAAGTTTAATAAAGAGGAGTAATCAATTCGGCGATTGAGTCAAATTGAGAAAGTGGAAAAAAGGAGGTGATTAGGTACTTGATGTAGGTAGGAAAGTACGGTAAAGAGAAAGTTGATGAGTTGTGATGGATGATGATGATGCAAAGAGCACGAATAGAAAGCTGTGGTTCGCCGACAGAGTCATACATATTTGGAGGTGTCTATAACGGTGGATGAATATGGTTTAGTGTGCTAAAATACGGTGGAAACGTCCACTATTACAAATCCTCATGATAGGCAAACCCCAAGGTATCAGAAAATTGAGCGCTGGGAGCATAAGAGACGAAATTATTAGTACCTAGGTTACTTTATGCTCCTTAGACTATAGTTCTTAGACTACTTATTCGTATACCCTAAGACTTAGGAGGCTATTTTTTCTGCTACGTACTAGGCAACTCTGAACAGTTTTGAGTACCTTAACGAGACACTCGTAATTCTGCCTCTACAATAGTTAACTTCACATTATTTATATAATTGTTTATGATTCCTCGTTTTACGTTATCTCATTTATATTTAACCGGCACTTAAATTTAACGCTACAGCAGATGCAGGTATAGCGGTATCTAGATCCTCAAGCGTAACTGTCATCATGGCAGAATACTACCAACATTGAACAACTCACTTTCAGGCATTGCAATGTAAGTTCATTGATACGTAAATTTGTGGATATACTAGATGCCTACATGGCATCACATGTTTTAGGTGTCTCCTAGATATTTGCAGCAACATCCAATTCTTTACATCCATTCCGTCAAATCATCCTCCACTGATCGTCCAAGCAAAAACTCAAGATGCAAACCGTATTAAGCATCTGACCACCCAGGAACCGAACCAGAAACGCCTTCATCGCTGGCCATTGATTCTGGCATGCTAAAACAAAGAAAAAATTCGCAGGAATGCAGTAATATATCCATACAGTGTGTAGTTATGTGAGTGGTGATGCCATAACAAAGATGTGATAGTGAATGAGGTGGTCGTTTAGTTGTGTTGTAATTTCAGACGAGTGTAGTCGTCGGGTATCAATTCGCAAGATAGTTTCGTGTGATTCAAACACAATTGACCAACTATCCAATGGTGCGGAAGCCGCTTATCCAAAAATGCTCATCGAGCTTTATCGAATCCTCTTTCCATCTAAGAACTTAGGACTCTGACCATCATAGTACTGATTCTGGTACTGATTCTGGTACTGCATAGCCTTACGTGCCTCGTATTCTGCCTTTTCATCTTCGTCGAGGCTGAATGCCTTCTTAAGCCATCCAAATGCACTCTTCTTCTTTTTAAGTCGCTTGCCTCCAGCCTGAGTGGTAGCCCGGGAAGTCACAGTGGCAGCGTCATCGTTGGTGGCCGAAGTAACGCTGCTGAGGGTACTCATGCCTCCCATTCGAGAGGGCTGATTACGTTGGTGGCCTTGAAAGAAACCCGACGGGTGATATTGGTCAGCTGGACCAGCAGTGTGAGGTCTTTGCTGCAGTGGCGAGTGAGGCGATGCACGAACGGGATGATAGGTCTGCTGGTACTCGGAGTGAGGCGAAGGCATGATAGGAGGATGATTTGGAGCTGAAAAGTCTGCATAAGAGGTAGCACGTGGTAATCTGTGAGGCTGATGAACTTCAAGGCCAGAGCTATTTGCATGTTCTGTTGTCTGTGGTCTTATGGTGAGATGTGTTGTGTTAGCAGTGGACTGCCGGGCGGGTTGCGCCTCTGCGAAGTTTCGCGGGGGGATTTGAATAGATTCGGGAGGGCTCCTCTTCAGTGAGACACGCTGTCGTAGTGAAGTCCGTTTTTGCAATCCCATAGCATCCTGAACAGACTGAGTGAGTGTTCGCCTTTGCGTTGGTTGTTCGTCCTGAGCCTTGCGTTGTGATTGAGGTGGAGGAATATGTATCGAAGGTGTGATCGTTCGTCGTTTGGTTTCATCATCAGAAGGGGGCGTGTCAGGACGCATTAGTGCAGGTGAGGTAGTTTTTGGGGTGTAAACTTTGGGTTGAAGGATATACAATGGCCCATCATCAAATCCGCTGTGCGTATCGCTGTCATCAGGCTCTTTGTCTGATTGCTTTGTGTCATCTGCAACAGACGCCCTGGGAGGGGTCGTACCAGAAGGGGTGGTGGCTGTGAGATTAGGCCCAGAAGATGAAGGTGATACACTGGAGCTGATATTGGGCCGCGGTGAGGAAGAAGATGCACTTAAATTCGGTGAAGGTTTGAAACTGGCGCGGTGGTATGTGGTGGTGGGTAGTAATAATGGAGGACCTCCCGGCAAAGGAAAATCGCTCAGGGTATTGATATCGGCATCGCGAGAGTCGAAGCTGCGGATGCTTGGGGCCACGCTCATCATGGATCTATGGTTTGCCTTGGTTGGGAGCAGAGAAATGCGTTGATCTTCAGTTTTTGGTATATTCGTCGGTATAGTAAAAGGAGGAATGGTTGCCTTCTCACGTTAGCCAAGTACTTTGCAAAGCGAGATTTGACTTACCCAGGTCTTTCGGCTGACCTCACCAGCTGTCTTCTCCATCTCAGCCACGATCGTCATGAGTTTAATTACCAAACCATTCAAATCTTGTGCTTGGTTGTTTAAATCGTCAAAGGTGTTGAGCCATCCATCAGCGTTACCCTTCATCGCGCGATAAATGCTCTCGAGATCGGGATCTTCTTCGGACCACCTGGTATCCTTGTGTTCGTTGAGCCACTCCATGAAAGCCTCACTAGAACGAAGTCCCGCATCAATATCGTCATCCCACTGCTTCATGACGGCGTTTGTTCGGGCGAGGATATGGTCAATCTTAACATTCCCAGCAAGAATCTTTGCTCGGAATGCTCGATCTTCAAGCATATTCTCGAAAGCTTGTCTGTTGGCCATGGGAAGTTGAAGATGGGCAATACGCTCAGTGAGGTCCTTATGAGCTTGAGCAAAGTCCTCCAGCATCACCTCGAGAAACTCGTCTACCTCATCGATATGGCCTTGAAGGATGGTCACGACCTGGGAATTATCGGCGGCCAAGCTGTTGAGTAGGAGGTATACTCCAAAAGTAATTTGCGAGATGAGTTTGTACATTTCATGTTGCTGTTGTCCCGGTCGATAACGCCATAGTGAGTCGAATGGTTCGTCCTCGGGATCCTGTTCCAGCAATTTCGCTCGACGACCTTGTGCGTCAAGCTCTCTCAACTTTGGCTTCCCAGGTCCATTGTCCTCGCGTGTGACCTCGTCTAAAGATTCGGCGAAAGCATCTTGCAAGGAAGGAATGGGATGTGTGGGGATGGATTGGTCTGGTGCCCTGTAAGACCTGTAACTATCGGAAGAAAATCGTCGGTCGACCTCGTAGTCTAGATTGTCATTTTCTGAGGCATCGCGGCCATCATCGGAGGTTGGTACCAGAACAATTCGTAGATCGCCGCCGTCATATGTCAACGGCTGAAGTCTGCTGGTGGCCATGGTGGCGGTGCCACTGCCCGAAATAGACACTTGTGTAGAAGGCCTTACGGCCGAGGTCATCATGGAGGCGGCAAGTGTGGGTGGTTGCAGTCGAAAAACGGTACGCCTCCTAAAGGGGTTTTTGGAAAGCTCAATGGCGTATAGAAAAAGCGCCGGAATTCGCGTACAACGTTAATCGAGAACTCGGCGAATATGCGCGCGAGACGACGTGGTACAGCGTGAGGAATCGAGCGAACGAGTGGAAGTAGTTGGAGACAAAGGAGGGGGCTGAATCTATCGCATCGTGGGATCGCTGCCAAAGCCGAAATTCAAGCAGGAGTATAACTCATAACACAGACAATTGTACAAATCGTTAGAGTTGAATCAGAATGAGTAACAGTGATATCGCGAGGAATATTCGATGTGGTTGATGTTGATCGTTGTTGAAGCGCGAAGCTTAGTAGTTAGAGATCTGCGGGAGAGCGGGAGCTGGAAGAGGTCGCAGCTCTACTATCTGTAGGTAGGTCTACAAAGGGGAGAGATCATCAGCTGATCAGATCAGGGACTGGACTGGATCCAAGCTAGGTTGACCAGGAAAGACCACAAACAGGCAGCCCAAGAAGACAAGCGTAATTGTTACTGTTGGCTCGGGTTGACAATCCGGGGTTAAGTCCACTAAAAGAGGTAATTAAGGATCCGCTGTAGCGAGGATTATGCTCGTGCAATAGTTGACAGTGGTAGGGGAGGGAATGCAAGTCACGACTGGGAAAAAAAGAAAAGGGTGAAAGAATAAAGATTTAGGCGAATAAAGAGTAAGGATATCATAAACCTGGTCTTCAGTTGTTTCTGCTTCTGATGCGCTGGATTGGTCGTGGTTGTCTCCAGTGCTTCGCCTCCTTCCTCCTTCCCAGTCGCAGTCCCAGGACCGTTCTTTCCATTGTGCTGTCGTCTGCAACTGCCCCTCCCCTGAGAAACTGCCCAAAGACACTAGCGGCCCATCCATTAATTCAACGGGGTGGCTCTTGGCGTAGCGAGCAACGCGACCACTAAGTTCAGGTACCATCGCGCCGCCCCCTGCATCTAGTTCGGGACCTGACCCACTACAAGTAGAGTAGGGGTTAACTGCTGGACCTTGCTGAGTTTGAGTGGATTAAACTTGACATTCTCGAATTTAATTTTTTTCTAGACACTGCAAGATTTGCTCGCCAGTGGAATCTTTCAATGCTACAGTAATTGATTACCGTCCGATCGTAAATCATTCACCATTGACCAATCACTGGCACTTTCCCGGTTGGACAGAGTCGTCGCGTCAATTTGTTGTTGATTTAGGTTTCAATCGGCGGCTAACAAATCTAATTGAACCTGTTTAAGAGGCTTAACTCTGTACCTGGCTAATAACGATAGTGCTGAATGTTTATTGCCACACTGAAGAAGACAGGAATTTAAGGGTCACTTTGAGTCGCAATAGGATAAAGTACCTGAGAAATACCTCATTGCTGGCTGTTCGTCTTTAGCAGCTGTATCTGTATCAAAAATACAAGACATGCATAGGTTGGGCAACCTTGATCAACACTGAGGAGGTTCAATTCAGTGCCGATCAATGGTTCTAGACCTGGAATTCCCTACTCCTCTTTTAACCAAGGCTATAGCTTCTTGGCGCGTCTTTCAACGGCGACGGTTTAAAAAGTCAGTCACTAAACTTGACAGACGAACAAAGACAGGCCAATCATCTGCACAACGCAAAGACAACAAGACAAGACCCATTGCTCTGCATATTTCTTTTTCTCGATATTCGTAGCTTGCCGCGCTTCGCCCTATCGATAATGTCGCCATCCTGCCAAGCCGATCAGAACTAGCTTCCTGTCTATCGGTGACAAGCGCCCGACGGACCTCCGCAGACGCAGACTTTGAAATTGCATGCTTGTTAACCTCGTGTGGTATTACAGTGCATCCGCAAAGAACGGAGCCGATTCTAGCTCAGGGGGAGTCCACGTTCTGTGTTACGCTGTCGGTGCAAGAGTTTTACCACGACTTACGATCCGATCGCTGTATGTTACCGTCATTGGACACTGCTGTCTCATCTGTAAGAAACTGTCGATTTCTCTGCTTGTTGCAGCTAGAGGAATGTTGGAAGTCATGTCTTAGACAAGTTGAGACACCACGGCTGGGCTGGGTCCATAATAGAGACATTTGTGGCTCGTTCTAGTTATGTACAATCTAAAGTTAGCATCTGTAGACTTTCGGGAATTAGCATCCGTCCCACTCATCAATATCAAACTTGCACTTGGTTAAAGCTAATAGCAGAGGGTTATCGTTGACCGACATTCCTTTCAGCTTCTACAGCGGTAATATCCATTAATATCCTCAAAGCCCAAGGACGGGTCACTCACTGACTCGACTGTTCAGGATCAGGGATTGACCATCATGGGATCGTGTCAAGATTACCCTTCCACCCACTGGGCACCTATGGAGCACCACCTCTTGTCTTCACTTCGGCAGTGCAATAGAGTTCAAAAGCAGGCGCTAAAGCACTGCCAGTTGTCAGAAGACATGATCCCGGGTACGGCTACTTCCGCTCAAGCAGCGTTGTACTTTGATATCTTTGCCAAGCTATAACTACCACAAAATAATCCCACATTGCGATTTCAAATATTCTTTCTATCGTCACATCGCCCACATCCATCAAGAAGTGGAGTGCCAGACATCGCTCAGGGTCTAGAAGTACCGAGTAAGATGAGACGTCCAATTGACAAAAGTTGGACTATTTTGGTCTCAACTAATTCTTCTGCTGACTTCTAACTTCAAGTATCATGTGAGCCAAGCCATCAGACTTGTAGCTGCGCCATGTAAGTCATGTACCTGTTATCAAGTCAGCAAGTCGAGCGGATAAATATTGAAATAGATTGTCTTGAAGTCAATTGATTAATTACAAAGTATATAGCTCAAACATTATGAAATTGGTGCCATCGTATAAAATCTTACCCTTAATTTATTTCCAAGTCGAAGCTTTCTATGGCGATACTGCCCAATCAGGCAAAACGTCCATCATCTGAGCCACGTCGTTGGGAAAACTAATAAAGCGCCGCCAGCTCTTTTCGCCAATACAACAGCTGAGGAGAAAGCAACAGGGTCCCCCAAACGCAATAATACAGGGCCCTGCTGTTCTTACCTTTCTTTACGTCGTTGTATCCCGTCCAACTCGATCCCTTCATTTCCATTCATTCGAAAAAGTCGATAAGAAAGAACATGGCTCCGAAAAACCCCTTTCGGTTCGGTAACGATCTCTGGGATCCATCGAATCGCTTCGAGACGAGTTGGTTGTTGAATCCCTGGCTTCTCTTCGCCGTTCGCGCGCTCATCAGCGTTTACGCTTTCGTCACGCGATTCTTCATCATCGGCTGGACATGTACGCACGACGATCTCGGCGGCTGTAAGGATGTTGGCAGGTCGTTTAGCTACTTCACCATCCTGACGTACTGGGGCATCGCCTTTTACTTTGCCATCGCGGCGCTACATACCGTTACCTATGCGATCCGAGGTCGATCACTGCTCGATAGCTTTCCGCGACCGCTACAGTCGCTCCATGCGCTCTTCTACTCGACTGTCACCACATACCCGTTCCTTGTCACGATCGTATACTGGGTTGTTTTGTACAAGGGCCCTTGGTTCCCTGTCCAGTTCAATGCCTGGAGCAATATCAGTCAGCACGGATTGAACAGTCTATTTGCCCTTTTCGAAATCATTATTCCTCGAACGAACCCCCCGCAGTGGGTGCATATCGCGTGGTTGATCTTCATTCTCGCGCTCTACCTCGCTCTCGCCTATCTCACGCATGCGACGCAAGGATTCTACGTATACAACTTCCTCGACTACCAAGATGTCGGTGGACGAGGCATTGTTGCAGGATACATTCTCGGCATAGCAGTCGGGATCGTCATCATTTTCTGCATCGTATGGTGCATCATCTGGGTCCGCCGTTGGTTGACGGAGACCAAGCTCGGTATGGACGGCAAGTTTGCTAGCCAACCTGCGGACAGTAATGATGTCGAGCTGGCCGGTACCAAGCGATCTATTGGAAACCAACCTGAGACCCAGGACAGGGTTTATTAAAGTTGTCTGTTGTAATGGGTGGTAATCAGGATGCGTCAAAGTGTAATGCACAGGGCGTAGTGAACGGACATTTTCTGTTATGCTAGACCGATTTTGAGATACCCTTTGAAGGAGGAAGACAAGCCAGAATTTGTCATTTGTCATTAGTTGACTTAGTAATTACTAATGGAAGAAATGATCTTTGGGGTACAAGTCTGTAACAAACAACACTTTGCAATTATCCAAACTTGACGCTTCATGCTACATGACCATGAGTATGATCACCATCTAAAAGTTTTATCCTTGTAACAGTATCACAGTATATGTACATTCCTGTTTGTAACAGTGACAGCTGTCATAGTTCCATACCAACTCCTTTTAACACTTGAGTAAAATCCCACGTCGCTTTTCAGATTCACGAATCTCAAACATGACTTGAATACCAACAAACAGACAAGAGCAGGCTGTAACGATGAAGATGAAGCCTGGTAATGTTAGTGTTTTCCTTTCACAACAAATTTCGGTGATTCAAACGTACCTGACCAGTCATGCAATATGCTCTGGATGATGCTCTGCAATCCGTCTAATCCAACAGCAAAGCCAACCAAATTGGCAGAGATCATCATGAGAACATTACCCACGCTTCCGACACAGCACAACATACGGTACGCTGTCGGTCGGTCCTCCCACTTGCTCTTGGGGAACAAGGCGGCAGCAGTCCATTCGGGTACCATGAACAACACAATCAACCAGCCCCAGATCAGCAGACGCAGCTGAATGTCGTGCCACAGTGCCACAAAGGTAAACACCATGAGGAAGGTCAAGATAGATCGCGCAGTGGTTCGCCAGTTGCGGAACGATGAGCCGCCAAGGGGAATGTAAATGTACCTGATCAACCATCGGTTGTACGAGCGGTGCCATGCTCGCCAGAAGAGCTGCGTGCTGTAGTTGTTGCTTACACAACGGACCATGTTCTCAGGCGGGTCCATTCCATCAACCAATGACCAAAGTCGGAACATTCGCCAGGGGAGCAGGAGCTTGAGCCAGATGATGTGGAGGTTCATGAATGACAGCATAGATAGCTGTGCTGCCGTGTAAGAACTCCAATCAGGCTTTCCCTTGCTGATTGCGCCCACCCAGTCGTAGTGCAGAATGACCTCCATGGACAGCAGCACCAGGAGGAAACGTATACCGTAGCGAATAGTTCGGTTTGTCTCAATGCTGGCAGATCGGTACTTTGATTGCGAGATGTAATCATTGAACGTAATAATAGGTCCGGCCAGGTAAAGGGGCCCATAGATGGCATAGCCCACGTAATTGCGGAAGCTGAAGTCTCGAGGTTCGGCGGATATGCTGACACGGTCTCTCTCGGAGAGATTTGCTGGGTCCAGTTGCTTCTTCTTTAAGCATCAGAGCATGATCAGAAATAATTCCCACTCTTAAAACAATAAAATCACTTACCTCGAGTGCATTAGAGTTACCGCGGTCGATACTCCAGTAGTAGTCCAAGTTGAAACTAATAAGACGTAAAATGGTGATGTTGAAGAGAACTTCCCATCGTGCCAGGATGCCTTGGAATGTGCCGTCAATTCTAGCTCCAAAGTTCATCAAGTCAGAGTTTAGCAGTCTCATCTTGTTCTTATACAAGCCCATGACGGGGGGCGAAATGTAGCTAAACAGGACACGGAACCTCCATCCCTCGGTCAATTCATTGGCAAAGAGGATGGAAATGTTGAAGATCCAGGTAGCAGCGGGGACATATCGTCGCGGAAGCTTGGTCGCCAGCTGGAAGTTGATCCAGAGGATGAAAAAGATCTTAAAGGCCGAGAGACCGTGCAGAGCGAAGAGGAATATGAATGCGAAGAGGAAATCGAAGGATGCGCGTTGGTCGAGTCGGTAACGTCCTCCCTGGCTTCTCTCAGGGATCGGATTGAACTTGTTCCAAGCTTTCCTCAGCAACGGGTGGAAGATGAGTAGAGAGCCCATGTAAGGCATGTTCTCGCGAAAGGTTCCGTATTGCGAATCGGAAATGTCGATCTGGCGTCCTGGAATCCAGCCAGGAGATAGCCATTTCTTGAACTTGGGATAACGAGGGTCGGTTTCTGCAGAATGTTAGTCGAAGTCGCAGTGTAAGAAAGTAGATTCCGTACCTCGCGAAACATCATATGTAATCCAGAACATATACGGTACGACAAAGGCGATGACAAGGTAGTATAGATAGAACTCGGGGGTGTTCCATTTCGACGGTTGCGCTCGGCTGCGCTCTTTGGCGGCAGAGTCCTTCTTTATACTGGGATCGGATCGGGCTTCGATAACGTTCTGGTAGGGAGTGGAAGAGGAGGTGGTAAAGCGGGTGTCGAGGGTGTCATGGTCGTAGAGCTTGCTCAAGAAAGCTAGAGCACCCATGATGGCGGTGATTTTGAATGAATGCGACGGACTGGCTTAGGTCATGGCGGGGTCGAATAAAAGATGAAGGATTGAAGAGAGGTAGGGCGATGAAGGATGCGCACAAAAATAAAATAAAAAAGAGCGTCAAAAGGAAGATGCTGCAAGAAATTGGAGATGTCGTGGCCTTCGCCTTTCGTGGGGTGGGTTTGGGTTGGTGGTGTTGAGAAAAAGGGACCATTCCTCCGATCCGAGGTATGGATGGCTTGAGCTTGACTGCAGGGGGTAAAGCTCAAGGGGGAAGCCCCTGAAAAAGTTCAAATAGGGAGGTTATCACTCGTTCCATGACTTGTAAGTGGGGGCACGACATGAATACGTTGTCATTTTAGCACTCTGTATGTATTTACAGATCATTCTGGAGATAATTAATTGCTCAATCAGTTTCTATATCGTTATTTTACGGGTATGATAATCGACATAAGCCTATAGTTAAACTCTATTACAGAGAAACGGGTGTCGCTGGTAAGTTTAATTTAGGGTAAGCGGTTTGCAACGTGCATTGAGGATGTTCATTTCTCTAATAATACCACTTTTGTGATTAAATATACCTACGTATATCTTGAAATTTGTAGTCAGACTGTCTGGCTTAATGTGCAGTGATACAAGAGAAAAGAAACTTGAAGATCTTTCCCGAATTGTAAAGCATTTGCGGTTCAGATGACCCAGTCTGATTGCAATGACGAACTTCTCTCTGACAAGCTATCACGCGCCGTAGTATTGGACAAGGCCAAACATTTCAAAGATGAAACACTAATAAATTGCCAAGAAATGTTGTATGAAGCATTCGGGAAGAGACTATTACTTAAGAAGTAACAAGTTGCAGCCAACGATATCAAAGTGGGAACAAACTTGGATACCTTCTACGTGCCCACTAGCCAACCACAACATCGTGCAATGTTGAGCATAACGGAGCTTGGGACAAACATGATAACCCAAAGGAATTGAAAGAGTATAAACAGGGCCAGAGGAGCCCATTTCAGATTCCTATTCGAACCATACAACGTGCCAAATATCGAATCCAAATTCAAATCCAAATCTCTATCAAACTCGGCCCAACCCCCCCAGATATTCAACGTTCTTCACTTCCATTACGTATCGAAACAAGCAACCGGCATCATGTGTGAATGGAACGTCTATCTCTTCAAATGCAACTGCGCCACCTTGGGCCTCAAGAGATTCTGTCACCAACACCGTCCTAAGCAGACCGCCAACTGCAACGAAATTCAGCTAGTCCGTGAGGAATGGATGCACCTCCAGGACCGAGTATGCCACCAGCATATAGGACTCGAGGAATTTTATGCCAACGGGCCGACTGTTCAGTGGAGGGATATTGAGTCGAGAGTTTATCAGCTGGCCAAGGATCATGCTGCGAGAGGGGATTTCCCTGGGAAACCTGAGTAGCTTCGGACAAGGAGTTGATACTGAGTCGACATAGTTGCTAGAAAAATCAGACTTTGAACAGTGTTATTATGGGCTTGTTTATCTTTGTCTCAGAAGCTCCAAATCACTTCCGTTTGGAATATTAGATTATGTGACAAGGTCAAGATAATCATCTTGAGACATCTCTACAACTTCTTGCGTATCTCCTCGGTAATATTCTGCATTGCCTTGACCAACGGCACGACATCCCTGTTACCTCTACAAAGCTCAGTCGATGTATCGCTCAATTGCTCAAGTGCTTTAATATCTGCCATGTACATTCGAGGATCTTCTGCCCGCAGTATAGTATTAGCCAGATAAGCGAAAGCGACGAAGCATCGGTATGCGCCAAACAACGCTGTCATTGTCACTCCATAGGGGTAGATGACTAGCAACCGGTTGAGAGCGGCGATGAGACGTCGAGCAGCGTCATCAACAATGGGAGAGTCGGGGATGTCCAAGTCGGTTGTCGGTGGCCTGGGAGAGTTGGAGTTGAGAAGAGCCATCTTGCGAAACATGTAGATTATGGAGGTGTAGCCTGTCAATATGACATCGGCTACTACCCAAATGTCCTGTTCGTTATCTTGAGCAGCTTCTAACCATTCAGTCTGTCATGATTGAGTTAGTCTACGTCTGACCGAGTATTGAGGTGTATTACCAGTTGCCACTCAGCAAAAATCTCTTGCATCTCACGACAAAGCTCCTCAGTTTTCGCAATTATTTCAGTCTTTGTAGCATTGGTTGGGTCATCCAGCATGGCGAAAAAGCGAGCGACGATGAGACTGACCCGCGAGCTTGCAAGAAATGCAATCGTCTGCATGCCTTGCGGAACAGCACCCGAATCGAGATCCAGCCATGGTAGATTGACCTTCCATGGGTTGTTCGTAATGGCCGGAGGCGTGTTGAGAATGAGTCGGTAAAAGAGGTCAATCTGAATAACCTCCCAGAATCCTCTCCGCTCGTTGTCGCATGTGGCTTCGCTGAGGAAAGAATTTGACTCGTCCGAGTCTAGCTTGTGGAGATTGAGAACCTGACAGTATTCGCATGCATACTTGAACGACCTCCATGCAAGATCGTAGTCGAAGAATTCAGCAGCTACACGACTCTGGAGATGTGAGATGAGACACAAGCGTAGGGCAAGGTGAGAAACTCACTACGTAAAGCGCGGCTATTAGATCTGTCATAGTACCTGATGCCTCTAGTTCCCAGCTCGGTACTGCGCGGAGACATCCGAGGTAGCTCGCGTTCATATAAGTAAGGCTTTCGTGCGAAGTTGTGTTGCTTGCTTTCAGACTGCATCCATGATACATTATGCTGTAGTATATCACGAGCATAACTGGGTCGACATGTATGTGCGGTAGTTTGATGATGTCGGGCAGCAGTTCGAGAACACGTCTGTCGACAAAGCTAACAAACATGCAAGCAGGCATATACTTGAAGAAGTCTTGGAACAATTAGAGAGGGCGATTGGAATAAGAGGAAAGTACGTACTTGCGACCCAGGTCTTGGCCAGGTCTGTTGGGATGTTTATTGAACTTGTTATGACACTGGAACCAAAAGAACGTTTTCTTAACTCCTGGACATGATCGACGGCATCCTTCAAGACAGTCATGGCGTCCATCTCACGGCCGGCATTGTGAATTGTCAATATACTGGACGCATGGCCGTTGGTGGTGCTGAAAGCAACTGGCGATGAAGAGGCTTCAGAGCCACCAACAGAGGGTGTTGGTATATTGCCATTGACTCGCGAGGCACTAGCAACGGTTTGCGCCTCAAGTCGTTGCAAGCGATCAAGAATGGTAGTCAGAGCAGCATTTGGGCTGTCTGATGACCTAGAGGATGCAATAGTCAATCGCTAATTCTCAATGAATGAGTTAGAGGCACTTACAGGGCTGGGTCGATCAATGGCCGTGCAGACCTCCTCTTTGCCCGTACAGGATACACACATTCCAGGTCCTGGCTCTTACACCGAGCGCATTGGGGCATAACCCGATTACACCGGACCTTGCGTTCTTTGCATCTTGCGCACTTGGAGTCAAGTTAGGATGATGCATCTTTGCAGTTTGACTAAGCTCACAGAAAGACGGTTGAGTTGATCCGGGCCGTTTCCACCGGCGCTCGACATGATTCCACAGAGCCTCAAGGATTTAGAGTTAAGAAAAGTCCGAAGGTGGTCCGATGAAGTAATAGTAGATGGAAACAAAAGAAATTGGGAGGGAGCGGAGATTCGGTATTATCTAACCCCAGGAAGATCGATAATGTATGGGGAAACTAGAAATGGAGTACGTAAAAATTAAGCTTTGAAAGAACAATACGACATATGAAAGCCATGCTCAAGCCATAGGGGAACAGTCGTGTAAAACGCAGGAACGGGGTCTTTGAGTTGACATTGTCCAGGTTTTGGGGATTAGATTCGGCCATGACAGGGGACGCCACTTACATAATTACCCAATCTAGTAATTATCAGAGAAGAAAAACCCGAAAGTCCGAGTGCGGAACTGAATTCCTGCCAGGACATTCGGAGGTTATAAGTCCGAATAACTTCAACGGTCCACAATCCATTTCGACAGTGGGAATGCCCAGACAGTCGGTATGGGGCTGAACTACCTGGATACGGATAGACCTTTACATCTTTTCTTTGTTTTTAGTCTTGCAATTTTAATAAATACTGCCATAATGGACCTCTTTGAAACAATTCGTCCTCTTCATACCATCGACTTGCAGCCTTTCTTTCTCATGGCTTTTATTACGCTATCATAACCTATTCTTCTTATAAGCAGCTGGTATATTCTATACAATGGATTCCAGCTCCCAGTTCAACTCTGGGGCTAGTACACCCAAGCAATTCTACCACAACAACGGCTCAACATGTTCTACCAATGTTTGCACCGAGAAAAACATTGACGGGAACACTAAGATCCCCATGAGCGAAGGCGAGCCAGATGTACTCAACGAAGATGTAATGCAACTAGCTCGCCAACTCACAAGAAAGTCGACTGCAGCACCAGGAACTCTGTTTCCTCAAGCAGATGGACCATTGAACCCAAGCAGTCCAACCTTTAACGCCAAGAAATGGGCAAAGGCATTCTACGAGCTGAGGATCGATACCTCTGAAGGCAACCCACCGCGGACGACTGGTGTTGCCTTTCGGAACTTGAACGTATTCGGTTTTGGTTCAGATACAGATTTCCAGAAGAGCGTCGGCAATGTCTTTCTTGAAGCTGGAACTATGGTCAAGAAACTGCTTCACGATAAGCAAAGACGAGTTGACATCTTACAGAACCTTGAGGGTGTTGTGCACAGTGGTGAGATGTTAGCTGTGCTTGGTCCTCCTGGTTCGGGCTGTTCAACCTTTCTCAAGACTATCGCCGGAGACACGCATGGCTTCCATATTGACAACATCTCTGAGATCAACTACTCTGGTATTCGTCCCGAAGAAATGCGAACAGCGTTCCGTGGCGAGGCGATATATACAGCCGAAGTCGATCATCACTTTGCCCACCTTACAGTAGGCGATACGCTTTACTTTGCCGCTCGTGCGCGTTGTCCAAAGAATATCCCCGAAGGCATTAGTCGACATGAATATGCGGAGCATCTACGAGATGTTACCATGGCCATGTTTGGTATCTCTCATACTAAGAATACGCGTGTGGGAGATGACTTTGTGAGAGGCGTTAGTGGAGGTGAGAGGAAGCGTGTGACAATTGCGGAGGCAGCTTTGAGCTATTCACCGCTTCAATGCTGGGATAATAGCACAAGAGGTCTTGACAGTGCTAATGCGTTGGAGTTTTGTCGCACTTTGAGGACGCAGGCTGATGTGATGGGCTGTACTTCTGCTGTTGCCATTTACCAAGCGTCTCAGGATGCCTACGAAGTTAGTACCACCAAGACAAGCATGAACTTTAACTAATCTCTCTAGGTCTTTGACAAAGTGCTCGTATTGTACCAAGGAAGACAGATCTTCTTTGGCAGGACAGGAGAGGCAAAGGCATACTTTGAAGGACTTGGCTTCGTCTGCCCTGAACAACAAACCACAGCCGACTTTCTCACTTCCATGACAAGCCACCAAGAACGAATCATCCGAGAAGGCTTCCAGGGGAAATCCCCCAGATCGCCAGACGAATTTGCACAAGCCTGGAAAGACAGTATCCATCGCCAAACCCTACTGACCGAAATGGACGACTATCTTCAACGACATCCCTTCGGCGGCGAGCACTACGAAAAGTTTGTCGATTCCAGGAAGCGAGATCAGTCCAAGTCTCAGCGTGTCAAGTCACCATTTACTCTATCGTACATGGAGCAGATGAGACTCACCCTTGGACGAAGCTGGGTCATGCTCAAAGCTGATCCTAGCGTAACGGTCACTCTTTTGCTGTGCAATCTGGTCGAGTCTCTTGTCATTGGAAGTATCTTTTACAACCTGCCTGAAAACACGGACGCGCTCAATAAGCGTGGCTTGTTAATCTTCTTTATCCTTTTGATGAATGCATACAACAATATCCTGGAGATCATGACGCTCTACGCTAAGCGCAACATTGTCGAGAAACACGCCCGTTATGCCCTGTATCATCCGAGCGCGGAGGCTCTTTCATCGATGGTGGTTGATCTGCCTTACAAGATCTTCAATACCATCATGATGAACACTACGATGTACTTTATGGGCAACCTGCGTCGAGATCCTGGACACTTCTTCTTCTTCCTTTTGGTATCCTTTGTTACGACCTTGAATTTCTCTATGCTTTTTCGACTCATCGCATCCCTCACCAAGACCATCGCCGCGGCATTGGCCCGAGCCTCCATCATGCTCCTTGTCATCGCTCTTTATACCGGCTATGCCATTCCACCGCAGTACATGCCAGTTTGGATCGGCTGGCTACGCTGGATCAACCCTACCTACTATGGTCTCGAAAGTCTCTTCATCAACGAGTTTGGAGGAAGAAACTACCCTTGCTCCAACTTTGTACCCAGCGGTCCCGAATATTCTGACATTTCGCGATTCTCACAAGCATGTGCCATCCAAGGTTCCGTCCCAGGAGAGGACTTTGTTCGAGGGTCTGCCTACCTTTCTACAACGTACGGTTACCTCGACTCACACAAGTGGCGCAACTTTGCAGTTGTCATTGCTTTCTCGATTCTGTTTATGGGTCTGCACTTGATCGCTACCGAGACCATTGCCTCTGAGCGTTCCAAGGGTGAAGTCCTCGTATTTACGCGCAAGGAGATGAAGAAGCACGCTGGAAAGCGTTCGAGTGACGAGGAAGCAGGCAGTGTTGGTGGTACCCAGATTGCAAACAGTATTAAGGCCATTGAAGAGGTCACAGATGTGGAGGAGCAGACTTCTGTGTTTCACTGGAAGAATGTTTGCTATGATATCAAGATTAAGGGAGAGACGCGTCGTATCTTGGACCATGTTGATGGTTGGGTAAAGCCGGGAACTCTAACTGCACTAATGGTAAGTCTTTACTCAACTATAAGCTTGCAGTCACTGACGGATAATAGGGATCTTCAGGCGCCGGCAAGACGACTTTGTTGGATGTCCTCGCAAGTCGAGTCACTATGGGCGTCGTAACAGGCGAGATGCTTGTTGACGGAAAACTACGCGATGAATCCTTCCAACGAAAAACAGGCTACGTTCAACAGCAAGACTTGCATGTCCACACCCAAACAGTCCGCGAAGCCCTCAACTTTAGCGCCCTTCTTCGACAGCCAGCCAAATACACTCGCCAGGAGAAGCTCGACTATGTGGACACTGTGATTAGTCTTTTTGATATGGAAGAATATTCTGACGCTATTATCGGCGTGCCAGGCGAGGGTCTCAACGTGGAACAAAGAAAACGCCTAACGATCGGCGTCGAATTAGCTGCGCGACCACAATTGTTATTATTCTTGGATGAGCCTACATCTGGACTGGATAGTCAGACGTCTTGGTCTATCTGCAACTTGATGCAGAAGCTCACCAATAATGGACAGGCGATTCTTTGCACCATTCATCAGCCTTCGGCCATGCTATTCCAGCGCTTCGATCGTCTCCTGTTGCTGTCTCGTGGAAAGACCATCTACTTCGGTGACATTGGCAAAAACTCCAAGATTTTGGTGGACTATTTCGCTCGCAACGGCGGACCCAAGTGTCCAGCAGGAGTCAACCCGGCCGAGTACATGCTTGAGGTTATTGGTGCTGCCCCTGGCGCTCACACGGAGATTGATTGGCCTGAGGTTTGGAACAGTTCCCAAGAGCATGAGCTTGTTCAACAGGAGCTCGAGAGACTAGCTGGGCAAGAAAACTTTGGCACTGAGCAGAAAGACGGAACGGAGTACAATGAGTTTGCTGCTACGTCTTATGCGCAGTACTCGCTGGTAACCAAGCGGTTGTTTCAGCAGTACTGGAGAAGTCCTGGATATATCTACTCTAAGGTCATCCTGTCTGCCGGTGCAGTAAGTATCCCCTAGCGTATGGGTCAGAGTGTATACTAACATCAACAGTCGCTCTTTATCGGACTTTCGTTTTTGAATGGACAGAATACCGAAAGAGGTCTTCAGAATCAGATGTTTGGCGTTCTCATCTTCCTCACTATCTTCACCCAAGTCGCCCAGCAGATGCTCCCTGATTACGTCGCTCAACGCACAATGTACGAAGCTCGAGAACGCCCATCAAAGACGTATTCTTGGAAGGCCTTTATGGTATCTACTATCTTGGTTGAAGCAGCATGGAACTCGGTAAGAGCCAAATGTGGTAATTAAAAGACTAATTTACTAACAGTGCAACAGATCATGGCTGTGCTTTCATTCATCTGCTGGTATTTCCCAACTGGACTATATCGCAATGGCTACGTGACTGACGCAGCGGACTCTCGCAACGCGACTGTTTTTCTCTTTGTGTGGATGTTTTTCATGTTCACTAGCACCTTTGCACACATGATCATTGCGGGCTTTGAGACTGCCGAAGTTGCGGGTGGACTTGTCACTTTGATCATGATTATGATGTTTTCTTTCTGCGGGTAAGTAGCATGCTTTGCCGTTTAGTGACATTAATAACTAACTCTTTTACTAGTATCCTTGCAACACCAGAAGAACTTCCTGGCTTCTGGATCTTCATGTACCGCGCTTCACCCTTCACCTACGTCGTCGAAGGTCTCATGGGTACATCAATGGCCAATGCAGATGCAGGCTGCGAGCCCAACGAACTCATCAACTTTAACGCACCCAATGGTACAACGTGCGACGATTACATGAAGACCTACTTGTCTGAAGTTGGCGGATACATTGTTAGCGGTGCTGCGAGTGAGTGCCAGTACTGCACAATCTCGGGCACGAACCGATTCCTTGAGAGTAAGAGCATGAGCTACGATAATCGCTGGAGAGACTTTGGACTTTTGTGGGTTTATTGTGTGTTTAACATTGCGGCGGCGTTTGGTATCTACTGGATGGTGAGGGTGCCCAAGAGTAAGAAGGGGAAAAAGGATTAAGTAATTGGATGTTGAGATTGGTGAAAATGTATATGTACGAAGCTGGGGATAGAGTATGGAGGTTCTTGATTAGACTTGGGGATATAGAATTACGAAATTTAATAATGAAGATGCTGATATCCGCATGTTATTAATGTGAAGCATCACGTCTGGAATTGTGTACATCAAAGAATAAGTCTTGCAGGGTTGGGATGCAGATCTCGATATGCCAACAAGCCTCAGCATATCATAAAAAGTTGACCGCTGGAGGCATAAGAGACGAAATTAGCAGGTCACTTTATGTTCCTCAACCTATGGTATGGTTCTTAGACTACTTATTTTTGTACCTTAAGACTTAAGAGGCCAATTTCTCTGCTACCCATTAGACAAGTAAATCTGGGTCTGTGACGTGGCTGGAAAGTCTCATCAATAATATGCCATCACTCTAAAGCGACAGATTGAACAACAAGTTTATGCACGTTGACCGTTTTACGTTGCAGCACCTGTATCAACCACAACCCGTGGTTTCATCAGCCTCAAAACGTAGCAGATATCGGTTCGAATATGCATAATTGTGTAGTCTTACTCGACTGCAGCGTCCAAATACTACAACCTCAATTCCTGCATTAGTTATGTCTTGTTTTATAAAGTCAATCCTTTCTACAAGTGGTGGTTATGAAGCGACCCTAAACAAAACAAGTCAGCATTGCGATAGCAAGGAAACATGTATGACCAGGGTACATGGAAACCAGCAATTCGGATCAATTGGAGCATGTCACATATACTGCTGAATGACGCAGGACACAATATGCAAACATACGGTCAATTCCTAATTGGGTGTGTCCTTGCAGCGATCAGCATTCCTCTGCATACGGATTGTTTTGGCCCCCAACTTTTATTACCACGACGATTGCTACGTTGACTCGACAAAGAGAATTGGATGGTTTCATTATCATCGTGGCACCATACAAACAGATATGTTGCTGACTAGTTTGGGCCGCAATATTGCATGACAATCGTGGTCTGATATAGCCTGTAATTGGAGGTAAAATGCGGCCAAGAGAACGGCGTAGCACATCAAATCACAATTACAAAACCATTTGGAGTAGCTCAAAAAATTGTGACCAGTTTTATTTCTAATCAGCATATGATGCATTGGAACAATTCGATAGAATGAGTAACAGTTATGAATCGCTCTCTAGTAATAACTGAAAAAATACACAAAAAGTCCACCCAATTTCCAAAGGGTATCGAGCCGCCATGAGAATAACGCCGTAGATACCATGAAAGTTTTTAACTCATTATCCTCCACCAAAGAAGTCGTAAACATGTAAAGTCGTAAGCATACATGAAGATTATACACACATAATTGTCGCCGTTTAGGCGATGAGGACGGCTGCTAGGACTGCTGCTGCTGCGGGCCAGTAGCCCATTGCCTGAATCATACTTTGGGCAGCAGCACTGTCCTCTGAGTCCGAGGGAAGGGCAGTGTCATTGGGAAGAGTACCGTTGATGAGGATGGTTGTGGTACCGTTGACCTCGGCGACATCGACAATCGACTTGTTGAGATGCTCGTAGCTGCCGTTTCCGATGAGTTCGTCATAGAGTGCGGTGTTGTTGACTTTGTCGTCCTGATCGCATCCGCAATACGCCTCTGCTGAGCACGCGCAAAGGATAGGGCGCTCCTCATCCTCCTCACTTGACTCGTTGTAGTACCGGTACGAGTTGGGATAGTGGTACAGGTATGCACCGCCATACCACACACCTGGCCAGAAGGCAAGGGCAGCTGCACCACCGATACCGGCACCTAAGAGGACAGGCTTAATGCCACTGGGACTGTTGCGACCGGCGGGTCTATAGGGTGCCGATGCGCCGCCTGCGTATCGGTTGCCGGCGTAGGTGGGTTGGGGGCCGCGACCGCCTGAACGTCCACCACTGGAGCCTGAGCTTGATCCTGAACCTGGACGAGATGAGCCTGATGAACTTCCACGGCTGGAGCCGGAGCCGCCGCTGCTACTTGAACCGCCGCGACTACCACTGCTGGAGCTCCCACCTCTGCTTCCGCTGCTTCCGCCTCGACTGCCGCCGCCGCTGCTACCTCCGCGTCCTCCTCCTCCACCGCCGCCACGACGCTTGTATAGGTCATGTTCGTCGGTGCTGGGTACGGAATCGACGCGCTTGATGTGGAGGGGACCGTCGATGGCCGATGCGACCGCCGAGGAGAAGAGGGTGAATAATACGACTGCGAGATCGGGTCTCATTTTGTAGAGCCAAGAAAGATCGTTACTTGGCTAGGTATATGTAGTTGTATAACAAAAAGGTTGTCGCGTATATGATTGGAATGTAAAAGTCTCAAGTCTAGAATTAAACGTGACAAGAAGCAAAAAAAAAAAAAACAGATTCTTGAGTTTGTTCGAGTTTGGGGTAATTTGACAGTATGATTTGCAAAGTGGGCGGGCAGTTCCAAGGTTTAATACCCGAGAGTAACGGGGGAAGAGTAAGATTGATGACGGGGGTGTATGATGGTTTGTGTCGGGGCTCCACAAGGCGTTATGTCTTTGTGACGGAGATACAGGGATGACACGATCAATGCGCAGTTCGAGTAGTAGGTTGTAGGCTGTGACGAAAGGCTAGGAGCAAAGATCACAGGACTAATTGAAATCAATGATGATCTTTTGTTTGGGGGGCGATAGTGGATGATGATGTAGTCCCAGCTCTGTGCTTCCAGAAGGATTAGGTGATCGTCCGGTAACAACAAGGCCGAGTCAAGTCTTGGCTTAGCTGTTGATGAGGTCACTTAGTGGGTGAGAGTGGCCGGTTTGGGTAATTCGTTTACCAAGAAGGGAACCAAGTTATATCTGACTGTAGAGAATTGAAGCGTATGGACTTGTGTCTTTATAACTGTAGGACAAGTAGAATTGGAAACGTGATTAGCAGAAACTAACACTGTTGGGCTGACGAGCTGAACTGAATAGACTGAAGCACAGACAGGGATAGATGACATACTGAAAACGATTTAGTCAACCGAATTGGTGCTTTGACTTTTTGCCCTATCGTTGTGGCTTGGACTGTTGATCAATTGCCTGCTGTGAACTGTCAGTCACAGGGCAACAATCAGAGTCTAGAGAGAGTACACAGCCTGAACCCTCTTACTCTGCACTGAATTGATGGATAAAAAGAACATGGATCGGTGACATAAAGGACCCTTGCTTGGCATGGTATGAGCGTAATAAGCTTAGCGACGTTAAGCTCGCAGCACCACTGCAACATGCTGCAGATAGCGCATATTATTGGATATAATCCTTGTCTTGATGTGGACCAGGCTGTCACTGAGGCAGATTTGCTTTTTCTTCCACATTTGAATACGCCCAAAGTCCGCCTGTGGCTGGTACATACCAACGAACTAAGCATACCGCAAGATCGTATTCAAGACTAGATCATGATAAAAAAGATCCTCTAAACGAGAGCTGAAGATCAAATTCCGTTATCTGCAGAGTACAGTAGACAAAAATCGGTTGATGCGGCTGTGCAAAATATATCAACCACGTGGGGAAACCAATCTTATTAGGGAAGTCTCCGATATAATCTAAACAGCTTGGCCTTGCCCCTCTGATGCATCTCCGGCCATAGCCATTGCCCCTTCTGAATGTCACTGACCGCATATGAGGCTGTGCTTGCAGCATTCTAGAAGCCTGGGTCAACCTTCTAAGACTTGTTGGCCTCGATCGTATGCCAAGATCAGGCACCTGTATTTCTTCTTTGCCCCGATCCTTGGCATTGAGACCATCTTGCACGGTAACTGGGCGGAAATAGCGTTTTTTGTTGCTTGTATCAGCCCTGAATCCTTCGATCATCACTAGGGTTTCATTAGTTACGAAACCAGGCAGATTTGTACCATTCTATCCAAGAAATCTCATGTTGATCAAGTAACCCAAACTGATCATCCCCCCAAAAAGATGTCCAGGCTACCTCCCTTAAGTTGCAGTCTCTCGCAGCCCATACTTCTGAACGAATTCATGAAAAATGGCAGTGTCATATGTAGCAACACACTGCAGATAGGCAGAATTCTCTGCTTCTTTCGTCCCGCTAAGCTCAATGCTTCGTCTCGACAAAGCCACCACTTCAGGATAATGCCTTGCAATCCCAAGCCATCTTCGCTCAGTTACGGGTACCTGCGCAAAGGCATCCACCCAAAGGGCATCCCATCTGTCAAGTGCGCGTAAGACCATGGCACAGTAATCAGGCGTTACTACTGATGTACGGCAGTGAAACACATGACGCATGAGACCTATTTCAAGCGAATTAGTATGATAACGAGCTTGCAGTAAGCATACGCACCTCCGTTAATGAAGAACAAATCCAATATATCTAATTTTCCAAAAGACTCCTTTGTTGGACGTGTCCAATCTTCTGCAAGTAGTCCGGACACAACATCATGGTAACTCAATGGGTACGATCTTGCTACGTTATGTACGTGTCGTTGAAAAGAAGCATTTGAATCTGCCTCCCACAACTCGCTCCGGCAAGGAATATGTCCAGTCATCTCTTTCACGGTCATGGCTGGTGGGTGATTGCAAATCAAACTCATGAGCGTATCATTAACGAATGTCCATGAAACAACTCTGATGCAAGTCTCTCGATGGATAAACTCGTTCCAGTCTACCTCTCCTTGGCGTGATTCATGTTTGAGGCCAATCACTCCAGACTTCCTCAAAGCAGCAAGCAGCGTCGGGATTCGCTTACTGGCAATTCTTCGACGACCTTCGATATGATTTGTGCTGCCTTCAAGACTATTCATCAGAACTGCAGCTTGACACACTTCAAGCATGTGGCTCGATGCAAGTGGAGTAATGCTATGGTCTGCCAGCCTCTTGACCTCTTTAAAAATGTACTTCTCTGCAAGCTCTAGTAAAGATGCAGTGAGAGGATTCTGGGATGAGCAGTCGAGATATTGAAGATAGGCGGTTCCAGTAAGTACGGCAGCCAACAGCAAATGAGGTGCAATTTTATCCAGATCGAAAGTCGGCCAGTGGATTGGAGGCTTGTGGTAATGCCTTCGACGAAAGAAGATGATGAAGGCGTTTTGAAAATGAGACATGGTGAAGAACCCTCTTTCAAAGCTGTAGTCTAGTCCTTCTTTTAAATGAGGCTTGTCGGTGACCATGTTTTGAAGGTTGCTTGATAGAGTTGTAATGCGTGCTGTGAGAGTATTGGTTGCAGTAATAGGAGTATTGAAGATGTTTTGAAATTGGAAATCGCCTTCAGTAGCTTCGTAGTCTAGAGGCTCATCCAGTAGCATGTCTGATAGATTCAAAAGAAGGAATTTTGGATCGACTGTCTCTGGAACCCAGCCCGTTGTTTCTGACTCTTGGCGTTTCCAGGTTGGTTCTTCAAGGGTTCTTTCAGGTTCGGCAGCCACATTAACATCCATAGAATTATGACTGGGGTCACTGGCCTGTAGTAGAAATGACAAACTGTGACGGTCGTCTTTGGGTGGTTCGTTGGGAACAGCCCTGTGTGAAGCATCGTGACAAAAGACACTGTAGATGCAAGCTACGCGCTTAGATGAGCACCTGGCGCATGGGACCTCGGTATTGCAAGAGAGCTTCAGTTTGGCACAATTGTCACAAGCGCGAAGCTTCCTGCCTCGTTTAGCTTGTGGTGGTAGAGTACGACCTTTCCGAGCTGGACAAGATCGAGCGTGTCGTCTAGAGACGTCGACCCTTGCAAAAGACTTGTGGCAAAATGGGCATTCACTCTGACGAGGCGCTATTGGATTATTGAATTTCGCGCATTCGAGAGGTTGTTGTGGAGCTGACATGTTCCTTGAGAGTGATGCAGAGGTTAACGTGAAGCATGTGGGAATTTTCCGAGGAAGATGGAAAATAAGTGGGTCAATGTGGTTATTTCCCGATGGGCAAGTCCACCTTTCAACGACGTACCTGCCTTTCGACGGAGCTATTTGATTCTCTCTCTCTCTTCTTTAATGAAATGGAACATCTGAGTGTCAGTCTTATGCTACAGTATTCCCAAGATGAACCGATTGCAATTAGCCAAATGTGAGTGAGAAACACGACAATCTCTGTCCTCCTTGACTTACACCACTCAATAGATACAACCCGGCCACTGACCCTCGCATCGCCTTCAAACATCCCTCAGAAGCCTTTCCATGTCCAGACACCAAAGGTCAACCGAAAAGAGAGTCAGATTAGAAAGGTTTCAACAAGTGCTGGAAAGGCACTCACTTCTCGCACACATCCAGCTTCCTTGGCTGATGAGAAACCAAACAACTTGGTCGACTATGCCTTGTACGCACTCAACCACAGAATCAACCTAGGCTATAAAGTACTGATCAAACATGGAACAGAACTACAGTCGATAAACTAGCCAACTGGGCACGAACAGGCTCCCTATGGCCCATGACATTCGCCCTTGCCTGCTGCGGTATTGAAATGATGCACGTCTCAATGCCACGCTACGATCAAGACCGTCTTGGAATCATCTTTCGGGCCTCTCCCCGACAATCAGACGTAATGATTGTAGCAGGGACTCTCACAAACAAAATGGCTCCTGCTCTCCGGCAAGTCTACGATCAGATGCCTGAGCCACGCTGGGTCATCAGCATGGGGTCTTGCGCCAACGGCGGAGGTTACTATTACTACAGCTACAGCGTCGTGCGGGGAGTTGACCGTATTGTGCCAGTCGACATTTATGTTCCTGGATGCCCTCCTACTGCTGAAGCTCTCATGTATGGCGTGTTTCAGCTTCAGAGGAAGATTCGGAGTAGCAGACCGTCTAGGATCTGGTATCGAAAGAGATAGGAGATCTGACAACGGATAGAATGGGGGGATGTATATACATGGCATTGGGAAGCTAGATGGATCATGGATGTCTTCGACTGGAGGGTCGAGGTCATTGATTTGAATTGTGACCTATAATCATATTGATTTACTCTTTCTACTCAGGTGAATTGTATCGACACTCAAATTGTGGAATATTTACAAGGGCCAGTGGCTTAAGGAAGATGTCATCAAATAAATAAATGGATTAAAACTAGTCTCAGGCCTGGCTGATTCAGATAAGATACTGATTCTTAAGCAGTGACTCTAGCTGTTGAGGTAGACAAACTAGACATATGTAAACTAACTGTAGATTTACGTATTCTTTCTCTGTAACTATTCACGTAAAACTGACCAATGGGCTCTAAGTTAGAAAAGCAACTTGAAAACCCCCCTTGTTTGAATTCCTTTTCCTCTCATCATTCTAACCCATACCTTCATTTGCAGCCCTCAACCTCATCAGATCACCACAGAGGCGCACGGAAGTACATTTCATTATTTTCAATTTGGCCTTCAAGCTTTAGGCTACTAAGGTAAATAGCCTAAAACGTATGGTCTAAGTAGCATAAATTGTCTACTAATTTCATCTCTTATGCTTCTAGCGGCCAGGATTTGGTACCCTGATCCCCCCCCCCCCCCCCCCCCCCCCCCCCCCCCCCGGCACCATCGCAGGTAGGCTCTTCACTGTCTGAAGACGCAGAAAACCGGCTAGTCCTGTGCCGAGGGCACTTGCGATGAGTCAACGGTGAAGAAAAAGATATCTTCACTTCCAGGGGCAGCTTCAAGTGGTATAGTTTCACGAGTTGGAGCAGCTTCGCCCATCTTCTTGGCCCTCCCCTTCGCCTTGGTCTTGCCCTTCGATTTGAACTTGCGTTTCTTCATGGCCTTGTTGAGATCGATGTAGACGGCGGTGACGAGATCGGCGTTCAAGATTGAAAAATCCTCAACGATTAGCTGTTTATTGTCATCGGAAAGGCCTTGGTGATCACCATCATTGTCGGAGAATGCTTGCCCGATGTAGTCTCGGAATGTCATGGCGGCTTGCGACGCGGCAATGGTGCGCTTGACATAGAGCTTGCTGTTTGTATCTCCGACAAAGGTTTCGTGGGCTTCGGTGAGAGCCAAATTCATGTCGTCAGCAGGATCGTTTAGCGCATCAAACGCTTCAACAACCTAGGGATCATGTCATCCGCCCCGGTGAGTTCTTCACCATCAGTGCTCTTACTGACGCTAGTAACGGCGGACAATACACTACTACGTCGGTTTCGAGACCTAATATAACGTTAGTAAAGACTATGGATAAAAACATCGCTTCACTCACTTGTTTAAAACCTTAAGGATCTTCTCTTGTGCTTGCATAATTGACTGATTCTGGCGGGCAAGGAACTTGGTGCGGAGAAGAAGCACCCGCTCTGTGGGCGAGATCATAGTTTCATCCCGAAGATTCACCCAGTCAAAGACTGCAGTGGGATCAACGTTGCTAGTGTAGCGTCAGTATGCTTAGCAGTCACATAGGAGCCAGGTATTACTTACGGAGCAGGTGAGCGAGTCTCATCAGTTGATTCTTCCATGTCGAATGTTGTGTGCCGAGTAACGGTTAGATTGCTTCCGTTGAACGAGAATGAGAAAAAAGTTGATAGTCTTTGGACTACTCATGCAGAAATGGCTCCTGTGTGTTTGTGGAACTGGTAGATTTTAAATAACAGATTGTGTAAAAGGGCCAGTGCTTGGCAGTCCTGGGTTAGGATTATGAATCACTGACTGTAAAATAGCAGGCATTTCTGTTGCTCAGAAAACTCAACTTGTGCAACCTGAGACAGTGAATCACAGCCACAATTTGCCAGGCAAACAGTGAATCACTGCTACTACCCGTCAGACAGTAAATCACTGCATTGCAATCTTATTGCCTCAGGCACTGGGAGATTTTCCCTTCCATAATTGTTTTCAACAGTTGTAAAGCTTTCTTCTTCCTCCTACACTCACCATAGGAATGGCCGCTCCTCCTGTCCTTAAAGCCATAGTACCTCCGCGATACATGCCCTTCGACAGAATCAACCATGTATCTGCAGACAACGATCAGCTCTTTAGTCTGATTGAAGAGTTGGAGCATCATGTTGACTCGGCGACTGGTTTCCGTTAGCATCCCGCACAGACACAGATACGCCGGCATAAAATTTACAAAAGATAAGCTCAATAATACGTTGAGCCAACACCACGACTTCAAGAACAACCCAATTGCCTGCCCTCTATGTCAAGAGGATGACACTATCGCCGACCCAAAGGTGGAAAGTAAATTTCCCTTGCACATAACTCTATGGCCCTTTACTAATGGATGATTGTAGAACAAGCTATAGGGTATTCGAATCAAGCTGAATGACCACGTGAAGACGACTTTTCACACCCCTCGGGCCAAATGGGTCCGTCGCGCCAACCTAGATGTCGAAGCCAGCGTCTTTACAATTAGCAGGCACCACCAGGTCTTTTGCTAAAGTTCAATAACTGGCAAGACACATTGAGAATGACACCAACGCTAGCACTGGCAATATGCACAAGAGGATGGATGGTTTGGTGACAATTGGGCGAGTCACATAAACAAAAGTCAAAATCATGCCGCCAGACCAAAGACAACGAATTTCGAATGAGAGTGGCATTTACCGGCATTCGATACTGCGATCAATAGGAGCTTCCTGCTCCTATCCCACATGAGAGCATCTCAGGTCTTATCCGAGCAGCCGCCTTGTGTAGTCTGCTGGCCCTAATCCAGCTTTCGATGCGAAGTTCGCGCGGCTTATCGTCACCACGAGTCAACCGCCTCCGTACACCTTCTGGTGGGTAGCAGAAACGTCAGCTTCATAAGTCTTAGGGCACGAAAATAAACAGGCTAAGAAGCATGGTCTAAGTAGCATACGTTTAAGTGGACCGGCCGGTGCCAGCTGATCAGCAACTGTGATTCTTTGGCAGCGCTGTGGCAGATGTGATGCGTGATTCACGGCATAATAGCAATGCCACCCCTAGCCCATTTGCTAAAAGCTACTCCGACGCTCGCCAAACCCACCACCAGCCTCTACACCCTTCATATGGGAGTGGCAATGTCGCCCAGCGAAGTAACAATCAGACACCCGATCTTTAGGCTACCTTGCTTAACAGCGTTGGATCAGGTGCCGATATCAATTCTACATTGGTTGAAGCCGTCGCCAATATTGTAAAGAAAAAGATTGAGCCGTGGCTAACCAAGCGTCTCGACACTGCTGCCACAGAACTCAAGACTACAGTCGAAGAACACTTCCAGTGGCAGGTCACTGTAGAAACTCAGAACTTCCTACATCACCACGTACCGGAAATCGAGGGAAAGATTGAGCCCAATGCCGAACGAATCAAGTCGAAACTAGAGCCTGAGATCACCCAGAAGTTGACTCGGCTATGGCCACTATTAAGAATGAGATGATGGGATGCTTCAACGACTTCAAAGACTCTCTTGAACCATGGATCGCTCAGCAGATGGATGCCGCAATTGTCAATTACAAGAACCGGCAAAAGGCTGGAAAAGCTGAATTCAAGCGAAGCTTTGAAGCGTACCAACGGGGTCAACGCAACCAAGGCCAATGATACCATCAATTATGTCGAAGGTTGATGTCCTCATCTGTTTTTTATTCCTTTTCTACTTTCACTTATCTGGGGCGTCAATCAGCAGGTTCATCTAGACCGAGCAGAAAGGTCAACAAGGTGTACTTACCTATTGCTGGCGGTTATAGTCATGGGCTATTTTCTTCCCTTCTTTCTTTTCGGGAAAACACTTGGGACATGGGAATGACATCAAAGGTCAAGGTTACTATCCGGATGGGGCTATTGATAGAGGCGGTTGGCTTGCGACGACGGGAAGCCGCGCGGGCTGGGCATCGAAAGCTGGAGGGTCACTAAGACCAGAAGGCCACAGAATACTAGGTACATGAACCCTTGGTGCTACTGTGCGTACAGCTCAGGGCCTTCTTCTATCAGTGACCCTGCCGTGGGTGTATGTATATATACTGTTAAAAGAAGCTTGACGGTCAATAACAGCACTCAGCGACCGTGGTGTAGTGGTTAGCATTAACGCCTTCCATCAGGAAATGAAAAAGCGTTAGAGAGGGGTTCGATTCCCCTCGGTCGCATATCCTTTTGCCTCTCTTTTGCCTTTTTTGATGTTGCTGGATAGAATGCGATGTCTTTGAAGTGGTATCGTGAGGTTCTGTTGTGGTGTTGAGTCCGATTTGGGTAATTTCCACTTTTGGCGCGGGAACGCACGTGGTTCACGATCAATCACGTGCATGCGTTCCTTCCTTTCGCGAATATCATATTCACGCGTTTAGTCGAGATAATGACGAACTCACCTCTTTCTTCTCGCCGAACCTTGCTTCGTAATTGAATCTTATTCAGGTAAGTATTCTATGATGGAGTGTTTGAACTTTGATGATGCAGTCTTTTGGTGTTTACCGAAACTTCCGATATAACCGACATACCCGCTCGGGCCGTATCTCCCGACTTCAAACTACACTTCACATGGATTTCTCAGCCTCAAGTCCACCGGTAGTCACTCATCTCCCTTGGCACATACAAAATTAATGTCTTCCTCTCAAGGCCGCAAACGCTCCAGGCTGGCCTGCGAAACATGCAGGGAGTTAAAACGGAAATGTGACGGCAATCGACCCTGTGGAGCCTGTGTCCGCTTCGAATATGACTGTACCTACAACTACAAGCAAAACAATGCCAACAAAAGAAGGAAAATACTCGAGCAAGACAAAGAAGCTCCTCTTCCTTCACCTCCAGTTCAGGTGGACAAAGATCCCCGGTCACATATTACATCGCCGCATCAACTTCAATCTCTAGAAGCAAACTCTGGGGCTGCCTTTTTTAGAAGATTGGCCCTGAGACTAGATCCAAAGAATGCTCCTCGCATGCACACCTTTTCCTGGAATGCTTTCCTTGGGGCAAGAAGAACATCACAGGCCCCTGTCTCGAGACCAATCACAGAAATGCTATCTCAGGAAGGGATGGAAAGTCTCAGTGATATCTACTTTGAAAAGTTGGATCACATTTATGGCTTCATCGACCGGGATTGGATCTCACGCATCATACAAAACAGATGGTCTGGTCTTATGTACGATCAGTCTGAAGATGCAGTTCTATGTGGTATAGCAGCCATAGCATGTTTGTTCTCACAGGTCGAGCCACTACCACTCGAGCTTGACTTGATAGAATCCGCCAGATTCATCCTTGAACAAAACATGTCCGACACTCCATCTGTGACAGGTGTTACAGGTTGGTTACTTAGAGTGATATATCTAAGAACCGCCGAGACGCCACACATGGCTTGGATGGCCAGTTCGATCCTCATGCATATGCTGGAAGCAGCAGGTCTGCATTGCGAACCAAGTGAAGAATCAGTTTTCCAAGTAGCCGAGGAAAAGGTCGATTCAGAGCTTCGAAGAAGGCTTTTTGCTGTTTCGGTGCATTTGAATATTTGGATTTCTTTCGACATGGGTCGATCTAGAACGATGCTTTGCAACTCGACGTTAGAAATGCCATCGACTAGAGAAGGGGATTATACTCCGGAACTCATGGAGCTATTGCCATACTCCACCGACCTTGATCCACACAAAACTCACGATGCTGCTGAACTCGAAGCTTCTCTATCAGTAGTCCTCAACCGTGTCCACTCAGTTCCTCCCTCCGTCATGGCTCAGTGTAATTTGACGCTTTGCCTCTGCCGCCGTTTACAATCCATGAACACGTCCTTCACTGGCAAGACTCTCGAACAGATACTCTCCATCACTCAAAAGGGTATTGAAGCTGCACAGGCTATCATTGACGCTCGAGCTCCATGGCATCAAATGGCCAACGTGCCTTTTCAAATCATATGTTTACTTCTAGCGATTGATACAAGAGAATCATTAGCACAGCTCAACGACGCAATGCAATGTCTCAACAACATCGCAACTGTGTACAACACCAACGCTACAAAAGAGGCGCTGAACACGGCATCCTTGCTGATTTTGATGCAGCAGCGGCGTAAAGAGAAGTGTGCATCAGATTTGAGCAATATCGTCAAGAGTTTCCCTATTATTCCTCTTTCCGAGACTCAAATTGAAGCTCCTCTGCAGCAGGTGGATGATATGAGGTGGTTCAACAATCTGGCAGGGGAATTATCGGGCTTTGACTATTCAGACCTGGATAAGTTTCTTTCCCAAAGCATGTTTTGAATAAAGTGCAATTTATATGCTTGGGTTTATTAGTTTGTAAGCTGCCGATTCATGAAACCTCTATATTGCCGGGTCCCTAGGTATTAGAAAGATTGACCGCTGGAAGCATAAGAGACGAAATTAGTAGGTCACTTTATGCTCCTTATACTATAGTTCTTAGACTACTTATTTTATAACCTAAGTCTTGGGGGCCATCCAATGATTTGTATGCTCACAATCTACCGATCATATTCATTTTGGCAGAAACTCCATTCAGTAAGTGTATAACATTTGATCATAACAATCTGCTTATTCTTCAAAATATTATTGTGTTGTATTTCTATAAATGTCTATAATTCGTGTATCTTTATGCATATATTTCTGGTATGTTCATACTCATACTCATTTACATCTCAATAGCCAACTTGCTGCGAGCTCTCAACTTGTGTCCATACTTGAACATGACGAAGGGAATCAAGCTGAGAATAGTACCAAAAATGGCAAGAATGAGACCAGCATATTGGCTTCCGACATTGTGGAAGAAGGCATTGGCGAACAGAGGTGTAACAGCACCCAGGGTGTTTCGCATAAGACCCTGACCAGCGATGGCGGACGAAGAGCTCTCACCATAGCAATCGGCAGTGTAACTGTATGTACTCTCGAACACAAAGTAGATACCGAAAGCGATGGGGGCAAGACCGATAGCAGGTCCAACCCAAGAGACGTGAGAGTATTGGGTGAAGCTGTAGATGAAGAGGCCAATAGGGAGGAACATGGCTCCGTACATAGCTCCGTAGAGACGGGCCTCGGGAGTGACCTTGACATCGGGATCGGCGACGAGACGGTCAAACTTACGCATCTGGAAGTGGTGAGCCAACCAGCCGAGGGTGGTACCAATGCAAAGTGAGATGTAGGGGAGACCAGCGACACCCTCACCCCAACCGTGATTCTCCTGGAAAGTGATGGGGATGACGGAGAGGAAGAGGAAGACGACAGCCCAGCAGAAAGCGATCCAGAGACCAAAGGCAAAGACGACGGGCTCAGTTACGAGCATGTGAATAGCCTTGACGGAACTAGCCTTGAGCATAGCCTGCAGACTGGGAGTAAGAATGTCACCAGCAGAGACGTATCGTTCATCGCCGGTCGCTTGTCGGAGAGCCTTGGCGCGCTTGTGAAGAGCGACACCACCACGGGTCTCGGGGAAGTAGAAGAAGATGACTAGCAGGAGAGGAACGTTGGCGATACCCTGGATGCCCTCAATCCATCGCCATCCGAGAGACTGGTTGATGAAACCAGCGTAGATGGGAGCGCCGACAGTTCCGAAGATGGCAACCCAACTGAACATGGCCATGGGACGACTTCGGTGGTGAGGTTCGTACATGTCGTCGAAGGTTCCTCCGACGAGAATAGTACCGACACAACCGAAAAGACCGAGCAGGAGTCGAAGTCCGATAATGGTGTTGATGTCCTGGGCGAGGGCGAGGCCGATGAAGAGGAGTGAGAAGCACAGGAATGAACTGGCGTAGACGACCTTTCGACCGACCAACTCACAAAAAGGAGCAAGGATCATAGGCGCGATGGCACAGCTGATATTGAAGGTGAAGAGACCCAACTGGCCCTTGATGTTAGGGGCGTTGAGATCTTCACACATGCTGGCGATACCGGAACTGTAGGCTGTAGTGGCAAGACCGATGAACAGTGTCATCAGGTTCAGGATGGTAGAGATGGATCGCTTGTACCATGGGTTCCAATTGAAAGGGTTCTCCTTATCGCCCGAAGCAAAACCCAGCACGATGTATTCCTTTCCATTCTCCTTGACAACCTCTGTCAGAGTAAGGGGCATATCGATATCGACCGTCTTGATGGCACCAAACTCGGGATCGATGGACTCATTGGCAGGGTCGACATATTTACCACCAACGATACGTCCGGCCAGGGGCTCGCCCTTTTCGTTCTTCAAGACTTCGACATCTGTAAACTCGGGGTCCGAAGAGGACTTGCCTTCGCTAACCGGGCTTGAAGGAGCGACTGTAGAGTTCTTGCGCGAAGGCACAGCGACCGAGTTCTTCCTTGAGGTAGGCGGCACGGCAGAGTTCCTCCTTGTTCCCACAAATGAGTTCGCTCTCGAGTTGGCGTAGAAGCTGGTTGGTCTGGAGGCCGAGGGGGATCCGAGGGGGAGAGGAGAGCCTGGCCTTGAGTTGGGGGCAGAGAATGAGGGGATATAATTAGACATTGTGATACTCAGTCCGGGGAAGATGTGATAAGGATGGGGAAGAGGAGAGAGAGCGTGGCTGTTAGAGCAGACGTTGACTCATAAAAGGAGCGAGATGGAGAGAGAGATAAGAGATATAAGAGGAACTCCAGAGTTTACAACGGTGTGCTAGGCTTCCCTGCTGGCCCAGTATGATGACATCGATCGCCTACCTTTTTTTCTTGTACTCGCCTTATCATGGCACGTTCTTGTTTACTTGGGACCATGGTTTGGCTATTATACGGTGTGGAGTTTTGTCATGTCGTGGTCCACTATACGACCATGAAGCCGCCGAGACTGGTCCATCTTTATGAGTCGCGATTCGGAGAGAAGGGATGAACAGTAGCGATTTGGTGTAATTTAGTTGCATTAGTTTCAGGGGCAATATAGACTAGAACATTTGCCTCTTTTTTCTAGAAAGATTTGTCAAAGAGGCATAGAGTGTGAAGGCGGAAAAAAAATGCATTTTAGAATGTCGATGTTTTCTTCGACGGTCCCTTTTCGGGGATAAGAAGGATCGAATAAGACGAGCGGAGTCTCCGGGAGCGCCGGTCCGCCGAAGAGTGGGTCTCGGTCCGAGAAGGTATGACGTCTTGATCCCGATATTTCGGCGCTTTTTTGAAGATCTGATCCTTTTTAGTCTGTTTTCAGTTGCGAAGCTGAGTCTGAAGAGCTTTGGACTTCAGATTCTGCAATACTAAAACACAGCTATTGTGGAACCTGCTCTCGGTATAAAGGAATGATGCCTTGCCTTTGCGTCACCAACGGTCTCTTTGCTCTGTTCGGTAGGTTTCAAGACCCCGATGTCCTGAACTGACTCGTGTAGTGAAGATGCTTGGGTGCCGAGGCGTTGATTGCATCTGTCATGAGGCTCCGGGGGGGTCACAGGATAGGCTGGACCAGGACCAGGATGGACCCTCTTGAGTTGTTGTTGGCCTGGGATCGTGTGAATACATACGATCCTTAGGTCTTGGTGAGGCGATCGTAGGATTTAATCGTTCGATTCAAAGATACTTGCATTGCAATCAGTGCTTTGTTGGGAAAGAAAGGCTTTTCTTGATGGGCTAACAGTTGCAGAATGTGGTATTACTGCGTTGCTCGGTCAAGAATGCATGCATGGAATGGAGTTAGTAACTTGATAGTAATAGAAACTGGACGATCGTGATACATGATACTAACAGCTTCAACCTGCAAGAACAAGTCTTCACTTATCTTTCCAGTCAATTCCGAGCGAAGACAAGCGGAATTACTATCCGAGCGATCCCCTGTCCCTAGTTCAGACCCACTGATAAGGAAAAGAAACTGCCGTGAGGCTCCCAGTGGAGTCTTTCTTCGGTGAGGCGCCGTCTGTGGATCCATTTTTGGTCAAGAGATCTTCCTTGGCGACGGCTTGAAGCTCCTACCATCGGGCAGGGTTAAGTTCCATGCAACTTGCGCTAAAAAGCTTCCAAATGTTCCAGAGAATCTTTTTTATCCTCTGTTATTTGTCACTCGGTTTATTGACGTATGATGACGACATGTTGATGTGGCAGAAAAGTCGTGTTTTACTAGTCCAATTTTTCAAAACATTGACAGTAGCACATAAAGCTTGACCAAGGGTTACAAACTTGATATAACTGGATCCAGCTACACCGTTGCAAAGCGTTTATACTCGGCATATCCGATGTATCGGCAGATGGAATGCGTATCAGAAAGACATTGAGATCAGCATTTCCATGTGGCAAACGTTGAGATACTCCGCAGTCGTGACAACAGCACAGTGACAGACAACCTGACTGACCACCAATGGCTTGGTTCATCTGTCATTCTCAAATAAGCTTAAGCAGCAGTTTATTCCTCCCCTCTCGACCATGCAGTTTACTCCATCATAGTGGAATTTTCGAAACTAAATTCTATCTCTTCTGTGTTCAGTCATCTCGTCTGAAACCTCGTACCCTAGACTTATGGCCACAACATCACCAACTTCAAAAATAGAATACTCTTCACTTATTCCTTGCATCCTAACATGATTATTAGTACATCGACTCAAAATAAATAAATTTCAATAAACCTGTATGCGGCAAACGCGCATCAGATCGTCATCAGTGGAGATATCACATGATCCCCACTACTAGCCAGAACCATAAAACCAATACACCCTCAACCCCTCCTCAACAACCATCAACACCACAATATACCCACACAAGTCACTCCGAATTCCCTCAAATCAAAATGGTCTATACTATCGTTGTTCACCTCTACGCCAAGGACGATGAGGAGTCCCTCAAGAAGCTCACCGCCAAGCTGATTGAGGCTAGCCGCGTCTACTCTCAGGACAAGGAGACCCTGTCGTGGCACGTTATGCAGTCCACCTCTGACAAGCGCGCTTTTACCATTGTCGAGCGATACGAGCAAGAGAGCGTGAGTTTCTTCTCTTTCCTGCTGAGGACCACTGAAATACAATACTGACTATGTTTGCAGAGCCAAAAGTATCACCTCGAGAACCCTTACTGGAAGACTTTCGACCCTTACGTCATTCCCCTTCTGGAGAAGCCCATGGACTTGCGACGATTTGAGGAGCTTGACACTAGCAAGGACGTCGAGGTTCCCCAATAAATTATCAACAAGGTCAATTGACTATCAAATGAAAGATTCAATACTAAGTGCCCAGTCATGTGTTTCCAAACGAGAAAAGACCCATGAACCGACTCTTGATAGATGTATCCTCTGCTTTCCCTCCGTTCTTTAGACAATCACTCTTCCTGGGTGTAACCCTAGTGCTAACCATCGATCCCTTAAACTGGGCTTTGTCAACAGCCGATCTCCAAGTTCTGCTCCATTCCGACTGGGGAATATGAAGCAATTTCTCACACTCAGCCGGTCCTATCTCTTCAAAAATGCTTACTCTGTTCTGACAGTCTGTAAACTCCTATATTCTCTGTTCAACGGCTAGCGTCTTGCGCATCGCCGAAGACAAATTCATTGGCTTCACCAGAACGAGTTGTGTCCGTTTGTACAGAGACAGTACGTCGAGGGAGATCAGTAGTGAAGAGAAGCCATTTCCGTCTTGTTTTTGTCGACCGGGGAACTTGCTGTATAGTTCCGCGTATTTCAAATGCGAGAATTGGAAGTCGATCTCTGATGGTTTTTTTTTTGTGGCTTGACGGCAACTATACAACGTGGAAGCGCCATTACGTTTTGGAGAATGCGGGCTTTGCAGCAATGAATAGGTAGAATGAGGATCCAAACGACCCTCAACCCTATATTTGAGGCAGTGGTTTGTCGTATAGAGGTCGACAATAGCTTGGCATAGTCTCGAGAAAAGACAATTACCTAAAAAATTGAAACAAGGGATTTTACCTAAGACTTGGCGTTGCTACTATTGGTGGTATCGTTTTGATGATGCCCATGTAGCTGATGGTTTCACAAAATACACTTTGGACAAGTTTGGTTTCTCCAACCTTGCTTGTGACTATCTTTGGATTGATGGTAGTTGCTCTTCTGGAGAGTTCCAAGGATGTCGTGTCGAGTACCGCGGCGTATGCCGCTGTACTTGTGGTTTTTGTTGGCTTGAACATTTAAATTGGATTGGGACAACAGAGGTTGATGTAAGTATGACAGAGTATATGCCTGGCTTGTCTGGCACAATATTTATTCCCATCTACAGCATATGTATTCTTCTAAATAGTCAGACCTTCGGGTTGACTTTAAACACGCCAAGAAGCACATGGAGATTTCATGAAGGTTGTTGTCTCACAACAAATAGTTCACAAACTTATGGCCTCAAGCACTGCCAACGTCAATTTCGACAAATGGATAGAGTCCAGCTCACGACAATACCATCTCCACCAAAATGTAGATACAATACCTATTTGCGGAAGGAGCTCCCATACTGCACTTGCCGTTCTGTCGTTACTCGCGAACCACGTGCGTACCCGATAAATCACGTGCATACCCGCGCCAAAAGAGGAAACCATTCAATCCGGGCTCAACACCACAACAAGACATCTCACGATACCATCCAAAAACACCACAGCGCGTTCAATTTACCAGCAATAAAAAAGGCAAAAGAGAGGCAAAAGGATTTGCGACCGAGGGGAATCGAACCCCTCTCTAACGCTGTTTTTGTTCCTGATGGAAGGCGTTAATGCTAACCACTACACCACGGTCGCTAAGTTACTTTTGAAGATCAACGTTTTCCGACAGTATATGTACACTGAAATCATCTATCACAGGAGCGGAAGGTGCTGGCCGTCCTCAGAATCCTTCAATTATATAAATCAACCAATACAAGCCTATTGATAATATTTGTAATGAATCACTCGGAAGTGCCTAAAGCTTCACGTGCATCTCGCAGAGTATCGTTGAAATATCAATTACGCATCATATAAATGAGAAAGTTCATTAAAAAGACGGAGTGGAGATTCTTTGATCTTCACACAAATCGCACACAGCTTACTTGCTGCCATTAAGCCCAGGATAGTCAGGCAACGGCCAGCCTCCCTTTTCCTCGCTCGAAAACCTCGAAACTAGATATGGAATCCGCAAAAGACACACAATCCAAGCAAACCACTGAAGAATGGTGACACCCCACTGCGTATCAGGTATAAACAGCTTTATGGCATTGAGCTTGACATTCTGCACCTCGTCGATGAACGGCCGCAGCGTCTTGTCGTAGTTTTCGAACGCCAACGACAGATTATCCGGATTCCGACTTATCTCTCCTGCCAAGACATATGCGCCGACGAAGCTCGCTGTAGTTCCCATGCCGCTAAATGGAGAAGGACAGTGAGCTGCGTCTCCGAGAAGCACAACATGGCCTTTAGACCAGGTATCAGTCTGAACCTGGACTACTTCTTGTGAGTAAAAGTTCTTAGTAGTCTTCATGCCCTCGAGGAAACGGTCGATCTGCCACCCGGCGGTGCGGAATCTTGATGACCAGAATTCTTTCTGCTGCTCGACTGTGCCCTTGTGAATACTGGATGTCTCAGACGAGTCGTCTTTTAAGATGAGATAGACTTGAGTTTCCGTTGAGTTGTGGGTTCGACAAAAGATCATTCTTCCCTCTGAAGCTGAATATGTTCTGCGGATATTGGTATCGTCATCCGCTCTTGGGATGAAATAATACGCCATGTGAAGGCCAAGTTGTCGATACGGATCTAAAGTATTTGGTGGGTTGATTGCTCTTCGAATTCGTGAGCCTTGGCCATCTGCTCCGACTAGAATATCGAACGTATCCGATGTACCATCCGAAAAGTGAGCAAGGACCTGCTTCTCATCCTGTTCGAAACTCTCGACAGTCTTTCCGAAGACGTACTTCACGTCGTTCTTGGTTGCATCATAGAGAATCCTCACAAGATCGCCTCTCATAATTTCATATTCGGACGTGACAGACTGCGCACCTTTGCCTGATTTGTTGGCGAGAATTGTAGCTATGACTCGACCGGTTGAGTCAACAATTCCCACACCAGCTTCGTCCACCAATTTTGAACGAACCACATCGTCAAGACCCATGCGTTTGACCGTTTGAATACCCTGTTCGCGAAAGTCGATCTGAGCACCTGTTGCGCGTAGAGCTGGGAACCTTTCGACAATGGTTACTCGATGGCCAAGACGGACGAGCCAAAAGGCCAGGGCTGGTCCGGCGCAACCACCTCCACAGATCAATAACTTGAGTGATGACATGAGTAAGGATGATAAAAACTGTGAGTGATTGATATCTTGTTTCAGAGGGGACTTCTCTTTATAAGTCAAAGCCAGAACTCGGATATCACGGATGGAGAAAGATCAAGACGTCGCCTTGTAAGACGGCCTATTCCAGATCCGATCGTGAGGGCAGTTGCATAAAAACCAGAAAAACATATTTTCGTGATTATAGTGGCTCGTTACAGCTCCCATCTATCGGCTGATTTCCATCCCTGTGTTGTGTAGCTCATTAACAAACCAGAGCTATTAACACTTACACACATAACCCCAGATATAATTGATGTTGGCTCTAACATCATCGCGTTTATAAATACCTATTGATGTATCTAACATTATCATCTTTTGGTGATGGTAAATAGTCATGCACGTCATTATACATTGTAAAATAACATAAACATGGTGGTAGGGGGCTATCGGAAACCGGCATCAACCCTGCTAAGTTAGTGGACGGAACCATCCGTCTGCCCGCTCTTAGTAGGAAACTGTTGCCATGTTCACCAACATCAAGCTCTATCATGAACGGATTACAATGAAGCAGAACTAAAAGTCATCCAAGGTTCCAAGACAAAGCCGTTGCACTGGAGGTTCTTTCTATCATCTGCTAACCACTTGCTTGTTAATACTCAACCTGCCAAGTCAATGAGGCCTCAAAACTTAGAGTATCATCCAGGCATGGAGCTGTTTTGGAACAGAAGTAGAGAGAGCACAGGCTACATAAAGGTCAGCTTCTCTACGCAATCCAAGCCCATGATTCATATTATATCAGTGGCTAAACTATGTCTTATTAAGTGGACTACAAGAAGTCGTAGCAGTAATGTCAGTTTTTCAGCTGAGACACTTCATGGACGGTACTGGCTCCCTTTGTTATTTGACGATTTGATGTTACGCTTCTATGGTTTGCAAATAAACCCTCATTCAGCTTTTATATAGGTACCGCAGATCTCGATTGAATCTGACGTCAATGGCTCTTTCTTATGAGCGCGGCATAACTATAAGAGACTCTCCATAAGGGCTCATTGAGAGCCCTCTGATCTCTACACTCCAACTCCGCTCAATATCTCATCTCAAGTTCACCACAGTAACTCACTTTATATATAAATCACCTCGCTCGATCAGACACAAAATGAGCGAAATCTGGAAAGAAGTCGATGGTGCTCGCGTCACAAATACTGATATAAGTCTTATCGATACTATCTAGGCAATGTACATAACTAATCAGCTGAACAAGTTCAAACCCCCAAACAACTGGACAAACAACTACGACCAAATGGGTGGCGAACCCATGTAGGAACGTATTATTCCTAACGAGGCCAACTCACGTGGTTTGGGAGGAATAGTGAAGCCACTCTTCAGCACGCAGGAAAACTCCGGCGAGCATGTGTCGCTTTTCGAACTCGATAGTAACTACTACATTTTCTATATGGGTCAAAACTTCCTGTGCCAGATCAAGGGACTAACTGATCTTCAGGACATCATAAGCGTTCTGAATGACGCTAGTTGGCAAGCGCTTATGTCTGAGCCTCTCTAAGGACTACTAAACGGGTTCGCAGGTAGAACCGGTGTTGTTAAAGGTTCATAGCGCAAATGGTACCGGATGAGTTTACTGAATTGAATCGTTTCCTGTTCTGAGTTGTGAACTGTTGCTTGTGTATCGTAACATAAAGACGGGCCAAGGCAACAGTCAAGTTACCCCAGGACAGTTTAACTACAACCATGGAATTTTGTGAAAGTAGAACAGGGAGGTGACAGCAATAATGACTTCAATATCCGTGGAGCGGTGATCAATTTATCGTTGCATCGGGTCTGGCTTCGGGTCTGTGATCGGGTCTGGTATCGGGTTTGGCATCCGAACCAGTACAAGGCAATAATGCGGAGTTGTACAAGTTTATAGGCTACATGACTTCAACTTTGCACCAAACCCAAGACTCGATCAATTCTTACTCAAATTAACCATGACATCTATGAATTGGGAAGAGGTTGTTGCTAAAAAGCGACAGCGACAGTCAGACGACATCTCAGCTTTCAGCTCTGCCGAACTATCAGATGCCGATAACAAGACGGAGCACTACAACTCCATCACAGATATTGACGAAGTCACTCATCTCGTAAGAGAAATAGAGAAGGGTAAATACTCAAGCGAGGATGTTATCAAAGCTTACATCTCACGGTGCGTTAATTGGTCACGTCTGTGTTGTCAGTGTTAACGTGGTCATATTGAAGTGCCATTCAAGCACACAAACGAGTAAGACTTCCCGATACTTGAGCAATGACTATTCTCTAGCTAACAAGTCTACAGACAAACTGGTAAGACTCTCTCTAATTATCGAGTCCAATTGCGATACTGATTACCCATCACCAGTCTCACAGAGATTCTCTTTAAAGACGCTTTAGCCCAAGCTCGAGAACTTGACGCCTATTTTGCCACAGAAGGAAAGACAAAAGGGCCTCTCCACGGAATTCCGATCAGCTTGAAAGATCAGTTCAACTTCAAAGGCCATGATACTACTCTAAGCTACACAGCTAGAGCCTTCAAACCAGCGTCCGAAGATGCGGTACTGGTCAACATACTCAAGAAGTTGGGCGCTGTCATGATCAGTAAAACAAACCTCCCACAAAGCATCATGGTAAGCTCGGCTTCATATATGGAACTGACAGTAACTGACGTATGCAGTGGGCTGAGACTGACAATCCTCTTTGGGGCTTGACGGAAAACCCGATTATCCCTGGATACACTCCTGGAGGTTCATCCGGTGGCGAATCTGCGCTGGTGTTTTCTCGAGGAAGTATTGTAGGGTTCGGGACAGACTTGGGTGGAAGCATCCGCATGCCCTCACATATCATGGGTCTCTATGGCTTTAAGCCAAGCGTACGTCTCTCGTTATCCTGTTTGTTCAAACTGACAACATGTAGAGTTCCCGGCTCCCTTATACTGGTGCACCAGTTTCCACTGAAGGGCAAGAGCATGTCCCTTCATCAGTCGGGCCACTTGCGCGCTCCATGTTGTCCATCCATGACATAACAAAGGCAATCATACTACAGGAACCTTGGACACAAGACTGTCGTTGTATCCCTATCCCATGGCGCCAGAACGTCTATGACGATGTCCTGAACCGCAAGCTGACAATTGGTGTCATTCGCGATGATGGAGTCGTAAAGCCCCATCCTACGATTGCAAGAATGATCGAAGAGGCAGTTGCAGCACTTGAGGCCGACGGTCACGAGGTCGTCGAGTGGAAGCCCGAATTCCACCCTGAGTGCATAGAAGTCATGGACGCTTACTTCACTGTCGACGGCTGCGAAGACATCCGTCGCGATGTTGAAGCAGGAGGTGAACCCTTCATTCCCGCTGTCCAGAGACTTACCGACCGCGGAAGACCTATCTCCGTGTATGAGTATTGGCAACTCAACAAGCGCAAGCGACAACTCCAACAGGCCTATCTTGAAAAGTGGAACAAGGCCATATCGTCAAAGACAGGTAGAGTTGTCGACGCTCTCATAACGCCAGCTTTACCACACGCAGCTGTGCCGCATAACAGCATCAAATGGGTAGGCTACACTAAAGTATGGAATCTACTAGACTATACAGCTTTGGTCATACCAGCTGGGAGGGTTGAGCCTAGAGATCTTGAAGTGACGATGGATTGCGAACCGAGGAACGAGATGGATGAATGGAACAAGAAGCTTTGGGAGGAGAACAAGAATGATATGGCACAGAACCGACTACCAGTGGATGTTCAGATTGTTGGGAGGAATGTGGAGGAGGAGAAGGTATTGGCTGTTGGTAAGATCTTGGATGATCTTTTGCGCAGTCGACAGCAGTAGAAGTTCTACCCAAATTCGCTGGTACTCAGGGTATCAGAAACATTAGCCGCTGGAAGCATAAGAGACGAAATCAGTAGGTTAGTTTATGCTCCTTAGACTATGGTTCTTAGATTACTTATTTTCATACCCTAAGACTTAGGAGGCCATTTTTTCTGCTACCCACTAGCGACCGAAACATATGTTCATTCATCAGGATGGTTTGTTTCTATAGTCACACGAAACAAAGACACAAGTAGGTGTTTTAAACAATTAAATTATAACACTCGCATGATAATCATTCAGTCATAATTCTATTGAACAATTATCCCGTAAAAGCACCCGCAATACTTCCTAAACCTGTGAAGATCTCTTTGTCTTCTTAAAAAAGCAAGGCATGCACAGTTGGCCCATCTCAGTCCAGAATCCAACAGGAGGCTCGGTAAAGGTAGCCTCATATGCCTCAATAAGGGGACGCTCCCAGACCAGGTCAACCTCGTGAGGTCGGATGTACTTGGTCTTCTTGAAGACCTTCCAGAAAGCGAAGAGAAGGACAGCCAGAATCTGCATAGAGTAGTTCTGGAAGAAGACCTCAACGTCAAACTTGGGTCGGAAAGCGTAGTATCCGTAGGTGAGGACGATGACGAACTGGATGACCAGGGCGATGTAGGCACCGTAGGGCTGGAAGTAGCCGTAGTATGGACGCTCGGTCTTTCGGTCGACGCCCTGGGCAACACAGGCGCGGTGGTAGTTGATAAAGGTGATGTTCATGACCATAAAAGTGATGAGACCACCACCAGTGACAATGCTGATCAACCATCCGAGGACCTTGGCAGAGCCGTTGGCAACCTGAAGGAAGGAGAGGAAGGGGAACAGCATGGTAACACAGAAGCAATAGACAGGGATTCCGGACTTGTTACAGTATCGCAGGAATCGAGGGGCACGGCCTTCGAGAGAAAGGGAGTAGAGGGCACGGGTAGCACAGTAGGTATATGTGTTACCAGCGGAAAAGATAGAGGTAAGGATCAGGAAGTTGACGACGTGAGGGAGACCTCCAATACCAAGGTTGGTCATGGCAATGACATAGGGAGAAGAAGCAGCATTGCCAGTTCCACCAGCACCAAAGTAGATGTCATAGAGAGCAGGGTCATTGTAGGCACAGCAGATGCCAACCGCCAGAGCACCAACAATGAAAAAGATGCAGAATCGATAGTAGACAGTCTTAAAGGCATTCTTGATGGTAAATGTAGGGCGCTGGGCCTCGGCCGAGACCATTGAGATGTACTCGGGGCCTACAACAGTGAATGAAGCGCTGAAGAGAGCGGCGAGGAAACCCTCGAAACGACCCTTGTCGCCTTGGCTGAGGTATGTAGCGAAGGAGCCGGGGTTGGAAAAGTGTCGGAAGCCGTAGGCGTCGTGCTGGGGGTTACCACCGCACATGGTGACAAAAGTAAAGGCAAAGAGGATGAAGATAAGCACGAGCTTTCCACCCGAGAGCCAAAACTCGGATTCACCATAGAAGCGGACGGCGAGGACGTTGAGGAGACTGCGAGTATGGTCAGCATTAGTTGGTAAGGGGCGTTGGATGATGTTGACTTACCCGTAGCAGATAATAACTGCAGCGCAGATACCAGCAGTTGGGCCAGGGTTCAGAGCATCAGCGTTCCAGAAGGAAATAACTGAAGTCAGTGCAGTAATCTCAAATGGAATAATAAGAGCCTCGTAGAGGAAGAAGTTCCAGCCAGCAAGGAAACCAAGGGCATCGTCAACCCAGTAACCAGCCAGGCGAACAAATCCACCAGCGATAGGCATGTATGTATTCATCTCGGCGATGGAGTTATTGACGAGGGCGAGAACAAGGGAGTAGAGGGTGTAAGCGATCAGGAGACTACCTGGGCCACCCTTGGCGAGACCTCCACCGATGGAGATGAAGAGGGCGGTTCCGATAGAGCCACCGGCGGCGATGAGCTGGACTTGACGATTGTTGAGTCGTCTGTGGAGATGACCCATGCTATCGTCGATGCCATACTGAATGCTGGCAGTGTCGCCTGCGACAGCGCTGCCTTTGGAGGCTGAGTGTCTTCTCTTTTCGTCGTCTGACATTGCGAATGTGATGGAGAAGAAATGGGAGAGAGAGGAGAGAGGAAAGATGTTGATGGAGACTAGAGCCTGAGGGAAGAGAATCAAGACAAGGAATGGAGAGGGAATACGAGGTGTTAAATAGTTTGGCTTGAAGCAGGAGGCGTAGATAGCAACCTCAATTGTACATATACAACCATGGTGTTGTCGGGTAGAGAGAGAGCTTATCTCGAGTAGCTTGTCTAGCGTCGAGGCTACTGTAGCGAGTTCATGGTCCAGGCCCTTGCAGTCGAGACAAGCTTAGACTGTGTTGGTGATAGTGTCAAGTCCTTGATCGGATGCTGAGTGGAGAAGGTGACGAGGTGAGGGTCTTTCCCCACGGGGAAGCTCTTGGTACATGTAGTTCGGTGGGCCCGAGTTAGGCTGCATTCACTAATCATTCACTAAACTGCATTCACTAACTCCCCTGCTCCTCGGGTAGACAGGAGGATTCGGCACTCGATTGATGATGAGAATGGTGGGTGTAACTCGAGTATAATTGGGTCCCTCTCCAAGGTCACAGACTTGATTATTGAAGTCCTGGGGTAGTACAGGCTACGTCGCTGACCATTAAAGCCAATGCCACGATATCGACAACTATACCCATAAACAGTCTAGTTCTGTCCAGTTCAGGTCTGGACCAGGTTGGAGGAGTTGGACTAACTGAAGTGTAATTTTGAGGCGTTGGGCATGTGAGAGAGGAACAAACAAAGTGATCAATCGACTATGAAGAAAACCATGATAACGGGGGCGATTACATCTCTACTTACTAACGTTGGCATTTATCTAACGACACAAGTTAAATGGGTCTTGTTATCTGGTTAATCAGTGATCATGACGTCCAAGCTGACCAGGATCCAAAATCGCTCACCTTCGGAGCATGTAGCACAAAGTAGCTAGGTAATGAACATGTCTCTCTTATCTGGCCATCATCACCAACCAACACTCCGTCTAATCCATGCCGATCCCTGCAAGTCACTAAACTTACAGAATGCATGTACCGCGATAGCCTTGCCCTCACCCTCAGCTCTCCTCATTCTAACCACCCAGTCACCCTCTCCTCACGGATTCTCCGCAGCTCGACACCCTCTTCTTCTCCAAGAGACTCCAATCGAATCCATCCATTACAAACATCTAGAAGCTCTCGGATGAACAACCCGACGATCATCAAAACACACAAACAAACGCAAACAATCCGCCGTGATTCTCGGCTCTCGTCCAGCTGCCAAGAAAGGAAACTTTGTTTGTTCTCAACAGTGGCAATTACTCGATCATGATCATAAAATACGGCTAGTGAATTGACCAAAGTCAATCGATCATAACGCGGCGAATTCATTATTACATGCTGCTTTGCTCAGCAATCGGTTTGACTATAAGTGGTATAGTCCTAGAGTCTAGGCCATCTATCGCCCTAGGATTATCTACGTACCCTTGAGAGCACGTCAAGAAAAAGGCAACTATTAACGAGACACGCATCATCGTCGAGTCTATTGGAGATTGTGCTTTAATTGTCATCGCTACAAGGGGTAAACGATACGACAGTTGAGCTGTTCCATCTAGACGGTATCTCTGATATTGACCATCCCATGTAAATCCCTCGAATATGGCTTCTATCACAAACAATCCAATAGGGAATCATTTGGCTATCTTGAGCCTCAATATTAGCTCCAAACTTATCTCGGCCATCCCTTCATCAATTACCAACAATACGAAGATAAGTCAAGCTTGAGAGCCATCAAAATCTAGAACCATGAACAAATTGAAACAAAGATAAGAGCTTCATTGTTTGTTCAGTGAGACCTCATCATATGCAAGATCCCAATCATACCACATTCCTTTCGGATCACATGATCGGAAACTCGTCCGATCCCCATCCGATCCCAGTACTACGCCGCTCTTAGACTACATCCTCTTGGCCTAAACAGGTAGGTGTGATATATCCAGCGTGGTGGGTCCCAGACATCTCTCCTCCAACACGGCACTCGACTTCCACAGGATCTCTTCCTGCAGCTTCAAGAGCTGTAAACAGTTGTGATAATGATGATCTCCCGCGACGACATATGCGGGCGTTATGGCGGACGTTGACAGAACCGTTTATGAACCAATTAACTGCACGACATACATTTAAATTTAGCCTCAACGGTGACGGAATAAATGAAACCAGGCGTAAATAATGCCATGCCCCCCCCCCCAACTTCAAAATCCCCCTTGTCGGCACGCTTCTATGCTAGAGTCGCTACAATAGCACCATTTCTCCACACTTAGTTTTGTAAATTGGATGTGCTGTATCATGGTGGTTGCATGTTATAGGTCTTTGTTGCTCTTTTGATCTGTGCTGCAACCTATTCAATAGCCCAAGCTTCTTCGCCCCTTTAAGCTGAAGCTTTCGAAATTACTTTTCAAAATCAACGTCGTGGGTATCATGTCACCATGGACGGGTAAGAACTGGCGAGTTTTGCCTCTTCCCCGGGGCGACGGCGGGCTAACGGCATAGACTCCGTATCCATGGGTATCCCTTTAACATCTGTCTCACTACATGATAATGGAAGCTAGTCTTATCGTGAGGTGAGGAGTAGATACTCGATACCAACAGCCACAATCGCAATAATAAGGTGCCTGAATGACAAGCGAGACACTTGGCGAACGCCATCCCGAGAAACCTCCATCAACTCCGCATCCAACACGTCAACCACCTCACGGCGATGCTACCAAGATAGGTCAAGAAGAGTCTACCCGTCTCTCTGGCTAATGCTATCGCTATAGGCCTATAGGCTAAACTTGCCTTCTCCCACACAGAGCTTCGTAGTAGAGCGCAAAGACCAAGTTCCAAGCTCAAGGTCGGTGTTTACGACGAGGATTCAGCTTATGCTTCAATCGGTTAACTTGAGAACAAAACACGCCCCTGG